AAAATTAGTATTAGGGGGAAGCTTCGCACCCTAATAGTAAATACCCCCCAATAATAAAAATTACCTGAGGTGTTTATTATTTGGGGGGGTTAGTACTAAGGGGAACGGATTGCATCAACTAGCTTTACGCAACCCCTGCTTTGTACCTGTAGGCCAGATGCCGAAGGCTGTGAAATTTCAACATGTCTTCAATATGTTACTCGAAGTTTCCCCTGCTCCATTGATTCCCCCGAAACAACGACGTCATGTTTCACTTTCACAAACAATTCAAAAGAAACTAACATTTTGGATGTGGTTCCCTTTGTATTATGTATATCCATAGATAAGCGCCCTGATTTGCAGCCTTAGCCAGCCGTTGTTAGGTTGATATCATTTTCCCTATTGTATCGACAGCTGTGCAACACAGATCTCAGCATGTTACGTTTCAGGTTAAATACACAATTTTTGAGTGGTTAAGCACTATTTAAGCATTATTTCCCAAACATTACGATGATGTTTCACGGCCAAACTCTTACTATTGAATGGCTAAATTCCTATCTCCAGTCTTGTTGCATCAATCCCAACAAAAATTCCAACCTTCCTTCACGAGAACAGCTGTCGTGATCCGGATCGCTGATATCAGGGAGATGGACATGGAAATTCACATCGAGTCTGTTGAAATTTTAAGTTCCAACCAGTTTCGCTTACTTCACAAAAAAAAAACATGTTGAATGCACATTTCCAATCCACTTAACCATGGATTCAAGATGATACAAGCGGTGCTCTAAAAAACCAGCAGTAGTTCTGTAGGGAATTAAAACTATATACCTATTTCATTTCGTGTCTGTTTGGAATAGGGCTCCTGCAAGACTTATGAGGTGTCCATTGCGGGTTTGTCTGCATTCCAGGCATTCACAAGAAAAATATAAGATTGATAGTGTATATTATATGTACAGTTATGCACATACATACATATATATATATATCTATCTATCTATCTATCAATCTATCTATTTCCACATAGATATATACACATGTATACAGTAGAACAATTAGTAGTTCCGTGGAAATTGGCATCAGTAGATTGTGAGTTTCAGTACGCTGCAACCAAACAGTGAACATCAAATATGGTTTCACCATGCTTCACAGCCGTCTTTGCACTATCAATACAGGTCCTTTACTCGAGAAAAAATGAATCTCAAAAAAGCAGATGATGAATTTGCGCATGGTGAAATGTCACAAAAGGCGTCAACGTTTTGGTACCTGCTTTGTCACCAGGGTCTATTGTACATCATGTTTAGCATCCAAACCACATGGCTGGGGGCCTTCTCCTACTTGGACACATCCATGTCATCTCCCTCTTGAAAAACACGTCCAGGATTCATCGAATAAACACCAAGTGATGGGTCGTTTCAACTCCCTGGAGTTGACACGTCAAATACGCTTCGTCCCATCCAACCAGTTGCAAACAGTGAACATCAAAAAAGAAGAACATAGTTGAACCCACCGCCCAGCGATCAAGCGGAAGCAGCTTCAAACAGCTTAGACGGCCCGTTTCAAAGCTGCTAACATTGCGGCCCGCACTTGCATGTTGAAGGCCTCCAGGGATGATTCGGGATAGGCAAAATTTAAGGGAACCTATCTACTGGTAACGGAACAGTTGTGATCAAAACACGCGAAGTTCTGGATCAGGTTGAAGTCAAAGTGCAAGGCATTCGAAGTCCTTTTCACACGTGCGTAGCGAGGGGCTATCTGAAGTCCCACCCTTCTGGGTGTTGAATCGGAAAATGGCCACAGATGGATGAGTGGCACAATTGAAACAAACATGCAAAATGTCAAATGACCTGTGTGCATAGAGTGCAATCAGCACAGGGGCAGTGCTGCCCAGCACTTGGACAAAGACATCAATGAATTACTGTATCTACGTAATCTACGCGTCCACCATGCTGCCTAAAGAAATCTTCACAGTATTTCACAGTCTTGCCAGAATGTCGTGACAGTATCTGGATGAATCACGTACGGTGGCAGGTTCGACAAGCAGAAAGAACATGCATCGCGCTCTTCAACTTGGTTCGCAGTATTCAATCCAGTGCAGTTTCGGCGCGTACGCCAACATCTTCCAGTGACAGCAAAGTAAGCCTTGAACTGGTTCAGCCTTCGAGTCTCATCCAAGATGCGGTCCAAAAGACCAACTGCAATACGAAACGATCTCTGATCTTGCATTCTTTCATGTTCTCTAACTGCAGCATGATCTTCAATGACAAACTGTTGTTCGACCATTCGACCCTGGGCAGCTATCAGCTCGTTTCGCAGTCGACGGATCTCAGTTTCTTTGTCAGTGATTTGCGCGTTGATGTCAATGACACGCTGTTGAAGCTGAGTGTTTTCAGCTTGCAGTTCTGCATGGTCCACACGTGGCTGGGCATGCCTTTCCCTTAAGGAGGCAACTTGATCCTTCAGCCATCGTGCGAAAACGCAGATCAAACCAAAACCAAAAGCCCACAGCAGGAAAACGCCAAAGGCCAGAAAAAGATAGATGTCATCACATCTGTCTCTGAAAACTCAATGGGTGCATCATCCAAACTGCATTGATTTCCAGTTACAAGCTCTGATGCAGCTGTGCTCTGCACCGTGGTCACCAGCAAAACATACCGCAGCAACAAAGAGCCGCCGACATGGCTGGCGTAGGTCTCAACAGGAGCCTGGAAATTCTCTTGGACAAAGGTCTCTTCAATAGCTGTGTCATTCTGTGAGTGCTGGTTATTCACAAAAGCTTCGGTGGGTTCAGTCTCAAAGGTCTCGACATGGGACTCGAAATTCTCAGTCATGTCGAGCTCGTCAGTGATCTTCTCAAAAGTGCTATTCTCTGCTCCAACTTTCACTGCATGAGTTGTGGTTGTGTGGTGTTGTGAGTTGGTGTTGTTGAGTTGTTTCGAAGACTGATTTCTGCTGATTTCTGCTCTCTGCTCTTTCTTGTGCCGTCTTCTTCTTTGAAGCCTGGTACGTGGAGTCCCAGGTGTATTTGATTGAGCCATGCCTAAGTCGATCTGCAAGAAGCTGACGTGCAGACATCTTCGTCAGCCCATCGCCGAACTGGCGTTCAGATGAAATCCACTTCAGGGTTTCTCCAATGCATTCGACTTGTTCTGGGATGACACGTAGTTCCAAGTTGGTGCGCTTGTCAGTCGCTCCATGGTTGATGGCATCTCGATGGAAGGAATCAAAAAGAGCCTTCGCATCAGTGACAAAAATTGGAGCCAGCGTAGGATTCTTCACACTCAAGGTCTCCTTGATGGAGTCATGTGGATTGAAAATCAAATGCCAAAAGCGCACAACAAACTCTGTGGCGTCAACTGCTTGGGCAGCCGATTGAACTTCTGCAGCAAGGCTCGAGCGGGCCACTCTGGGTAAACGAAAACTCTTCCACTCCAAAGCATGGTATGGACATTCCACACCTCTGAAGGCATCCTTGTAAGTGAGCAACACAATGCAACCAATTTGGGTGGAGCCATCGTGACGTGCACCAAGTGCTGCATCAAACATGCAGCTCAGACGCAAGTCTTTGAGATCTCCAAGTGGGTTGAACTTCAGGTGAACATCACCGTTGGCTTTGCTGAACTTAACGAGCTTGTTGGCTTCAAGCAAGGGTGCAGAAAGTCCAGTGCTCATCTCACCTGACAACAAGCTGGTTGAAGCTTGGATGTGTGGAGAGCTTTGTATCGCTGGCCACTGAAGGCTTCCAAATAGGCCACGAAGCATTGTCTGCTCCTTGTCGGACATGGGTTGGTGTGATTGACGGCCCCGCTCAACGGGAATTGGTTGAACTTTTCGAAGATATTCATCATGGCTCACATGCCATGTGCCGTCTGAATCACGAGTCATCTTGGCACCGCAGTACTCAAAGGGTTCATCTTTTTGCCAAGTGCGGAAGTTGAAAGACTCCTTGAGTTGTCTTTCAGCATTCAGGTAGGTCTCAGACTTTGTGTCACCCCATCCCAACATGTCATCAACATGCAGACATAGGAGGCCACATAGTTTGGTAGCTGAGCCATCAGCTTCAGCTGGTTCATAAAGAAGCCAAAACCAAGGATCCATGGGATGAGGTGTCCACTGCAGGTGGCGAAGTCTGCGAGTTGCTTCAAGGAACCATCTCTTTGGTGCGTCAAGCTGGCCATAGACAGGCTTGTGCAAAAACATCCTGGTGTCAGCATCGCCGCCAAGGATACTAAGGGCATCTGCTGGCAACTTCACCCACAGTCGTCTCTCCTGTGGGAGTCCTTGAAGGAAAGCTGTAGAAACATCAGCGCTCCAGCCACACCAACCAAGAATCGCCGAGATGGACAGCAAGCATGCCCGGCCCAATCTGGTAGAAGCTGGAGAAGCAGTGTCTAATTCTCCTGCTAAGGCATCGGCATCAGCGTAGCCACGCACGACGAGTCTCGCCTTGGCTCGTGGCGTGCCGTCGGCATTCTTCGCCCACTTCAGCAAAATTCTGCTTGTGAGTGTGCGGCCAGGGTCTGCCTCTTTGGTGGATTGAAAGGTCCACACGCCGTTGTCGAAGAAACTCTTGAGCTCTTTCACTTGGCTTGATGAAAAAGGATCTTCAGGCTCAGCTTTCTTTCGTTGATCTCGTTCTTGGGAGCAGCTTTTCGCATTTTGCGCTCTGAGTTGATCTTCTCTTTCTTGCCAACCTGCTTTGCAGTCATCGCAGCATATGCATGAAGTCCAAGTTCTTTGCGGGTCTCGCCGTTGAGTTGGAACACAGTGCAACCAATCCATGGAGTGTTGGACAAAGTGCAATGGCCATTCGCAATCTTGTCAGTGATGTGGCTGATGCCATGAGCATGGTTGGAGACAGTTGCCCTGACATTGTCCAACTGTTGTAGTGGAACTGGCATATGGCTGAGATCTTTGGCTGAAAGAGCTCTGGGATCAAAAAGTGCTCTGCGAGGAACAACATGATGTCGAATCAGACATCCTGCTTTGAGCTCCCAAAAATCTTTGGTGCGATCTTCCAAAGTGATGTAGCCGTCTTCAAACTTCCAACCAGGTGGCAGCGCAGCAGTGTCAAGATCCTCAATGTCAAATGCTGAAAGTCCAAAATCAGCGTCATCTTTGATGGGTTGTGGAGGATCATATGGAACTGCGCGAGCTGGCGGTGCACGTCGATGAGGTCCAAACGACATGGTCTCTTGGAGTTGGAAGCGACGCCGATGAGCTCGGAAGTCTTCCTCTGTCGCTGGTTGGTAAAGAGAGGCTGTGAATGGGTCAAGTTGAGGAGCTTGATCATTCTGTTGCTGTTGAGGTAGTTCGGCTGGTTGGATTGGTTGTAGAAAGGCATTTGGATGTTGAGGTAGATCAGGTGTAGGTGGTGGCGCTTGAGATGCGGCATTTGGACTGGGTTCTCTGGAAGGTTCCCCAACATTGATTGGCATATCCATCGCTGGATTAGGCAAAGGTTCAGAAACTCCATGAAGTCCATCAGATCCAGCTGGCTCAACAAGTCCAGGTTGAGCGGTGTCCTCAAGTCCAAGAGGATCGGGCTGTGGTCCAGTCAAAAGTCCAGGTGACTGACCAGGTTGACCGTCAAAGTCCAAGAGGTCAACATCAGCCGGTGGTGGATCTGGTGCCAATGAAGGAGAGTATGGAGGTGATGAAGGTTGAGGTGGTGTCACGTGTTCTGGATCAAGAAGTCTTCGAGGAGTTGCCGGTGGACGCAAGTCGTCATCATCATTATCATTGATCATCATCATTGTCATCCATGACTTCTTCATCCGTACCAATGTCGTCGATGTTGCGCTTGTGCTGGATGGACAAGTTGACAAAGCGAGTCACACCACGTTGACTTCAGAGATTTGATCACGTCCTTGGCGTCTTGCAAGCTGCCTGTCAAGCTGTCAGTGGACTTGCCAATTTCAGGGCGGACGTGATGTGGTGCAGCTCGAAGAAGTTGAGACTTGTAGCCAATCCAGTAGATGTGGGGCCTGCCATCTTCATTGTCTTCTCGCACGAGGACAGTTGCCGGGCCCTTCCAACGGATCTCCACAAGGTCTGCTGACCTGCTGTTGCGCCCAAAGAAGCATTTCTGTCCGGGGAGGAGCATGATGTTGGAACCGGCATACTTCCTAAGCAAGGCTCGTCTGAGCTTCTGGTCAGTGTCGGCCTGGATGATGGCCATTTTGGCAGTGGCTCTTCTGGCAAGTTCATCTTCAAAGGATTCACCAAGATGAACTGGAGTCAGTGAAGTTCCAAGAAGTTCGCCAGGTAGATCTGGTGACTGTCCAAGAAGCCATTGAGCAGGTGAAAAGCCTGAAGTCGATGGAGTGTTGTTGATCTGGGGCACGATATAGGCCAGGGCCTGTTTGACGGCCTTTTCACCATTGATGTCATAGTCGGCCAAGTAGACTTCCAGTGCTTTTCGCAGGACAGCATGTCTTCTCTCCACAAGGGCAAGTTGTTCATAGGCCTCGCCAGCAGCAACGGCATGAAGAATTCCATGTTCATCCGTCCAAATTCCAATGTCTTCATGAAGCCAGCTGCACCCTTCATCAGTGACCAATTTGGTCGGTGGTCCAAAGAGGGAAATCCAGCATCCTTCCAGAGCCGAGATATAGTCAACGGCCTTCTCGCTCTTGGGGAGGAACGCGGCCATAAACTTTGTGGCTTCATCGATCATGGACAAGATGGGCAACTTGTTGGAGTCGTCCTTGAGCCAGAAGACATCGGCCTGGGCAATCTGGTTGAACTTGCTCACTGTCTTTGAAGATGAAGGTGCAACTTGGTTTGGCTTTCGATAGCGCAAACAGGCATGACATTGAAACTGTCGTGCAATTTCCATGACAGCTTCTGAGGCACCACGAGATTCCAAAAGTTCACATAGGGCTTTGGGTGAAGGAGGTCCAAGATGGCGATGAAGTCGCTGGACAGTTCTGATGGCTTCAGCTCGATTTCCAGTCATGAGCTGGACCAACTTCCCTTGTACCTCACCTCTTCCACGGCGTTGACATCTTCCCAAGCGCTTGGATCCTCAGGGGCAGCCATTGCAGCGGCCAAGACAGCAGCCATTGCTGGTTGGTAGTCTTCCATGTAGCTGGTGCGGGAATGGCCAATGCCTGGGAATTGCCCTTCAAGTCTGCAATGTTCATGAGATCCGTCACAGCGAAGACACATAGCCTGAGCCATTGCACGCTTGGTGGTCTTCAGACCGGTGGCTTTCTTGACGGGCTTCCATTGATTGTCAACATCCAAGCACATAGCGCCATAGCAGCACTGGTCAAAGATGACATAGAGGCCAGGAAGCGATTTCAGAGATGTAGTTTCCCAAGAAAACGCTCCATGTGGTTGTTCAAGATGTGCTGGACCTGGGCAAGGTAAGACTTCTTCACAAATCGCAAATGATGGTCATGGTGAACTTGTCGCTGTTGTTGCAAGAGATCCTTCTTGGCTTCTGTGGTGGCATTGATTGCTTGCATTCTGCTCCACAAGCCACATCTTGGTGCGTACAGGATCTCATCAGGCACCACATGGGCCTGATACTCCAAGAAGTAGGACCGACGTGAAGGCAGGTCAAAGTCATAGTCGGTCTCATAGCCAAACCTCTCAACCAAGCAGCCAAGTGATTCAGCCACTTGTGACATCCTTGAAGCGCCAGCATATAGACCTCCCAGATAATCCTGGGTCTTGGCGTAGAGTCGTGAAGCTCTCTGGTAGCCTGGACGCGCTTCTCTTCAGCGGCAAGGGCATTCTCGAGCATCTTCCAATGCTTGATCAGGACAAGTCATTCTCCAGGTTGTTTCGGAGAATCGTCAGTAGAGTTGAAAACACCTTCCTGCTTCTGGTAGGAAAGTCCATAACCTTACCAGAAGACTGGACTCATCAGATTGGTCTTCAAGTCGAAGATCAAAGAAAGGTACCTGATCAGCAAGCTCGGCCTCGTATTCTTCAGTCAAGGACAGCAAGTACTCGCCATGACGACCAATTGTGATTTGTCGCAGGGATATCCTTCAAACATCATCTGCTGCCGCTTGAAGTTGATGACAATGCCCAAAGCCTCAATGATGGGACGACCCATCAGCATTGGTGTTTCTCCTTTAATGATGAACGCCTGGGCAAATCCAAAGGTGTTGTTGGGGAAACTGGCACTCGTGCAACCCAATGACTGACAGTTGAATGGTCCCCACCAAAATGAAAAGTCCGGCAAGTGCGCCGCATCTCAATGGTGTCCACAGCAAATCCAAGCTGCTTGAGATGCTCCACATAACGGTGGAATGGGCCAGTGCCCATCAGGAAAGCACTTGCTCCTGGGTCCACCATAGTGCAGTCGACGTGAGGGCGTCCAGCTTGATCTTCAAATAGGACAAGTCCATGTTCATCAGGCAGCTGAGTTGCGGCCATACCTTCAGTGTTTTGCTTCTTCGAGGGACTGATTGACACCTGAGGAGAGCCGCTGTGCTTTGCAGGTCGAGGGCACTAAGCTGCTTGATGTCCAAAAGCACCGCATCGTAGACATTGTGAAGCTGCAGCAGCTCTGGCTCGAGGATCTGGTGCTTTGCGTTCACCACGTGGTGGATAGCGCACAACATTGGATCCACGGCCCTTGCCCTTCGACTTTCCCTTAAGCTTTCCAAAACCTTTTCCACGACCACGTGATGATGGGGAAGGACTGGAAGAAGGAGACACAGGGTTCTGGTCAGCCAATGCCACAACAGGCAAAAATCCACGGCTGAGCTTGAGGTCTTGGAACCTTCGACGAGCGTCCAAGTATGCAGCAAAAGCCTCGTCATACGTATTAACGTGGAAGGGCTCGGGATGCTGGTCAAATTCAAGGGCTGTCTCATCTTCTTGGAAGGAGGCAGCATCCGCATCAAAGCGGTCGTCGGCCCAGCTTTCGTCGTAGGCCTCAGTCTCATAGTATTCATCATACTCATAGTATCCATCTTCATAGGCATCTGAATCATCATAGGTTTCATCATCGTGAGCAGCAAATGCTTTTCACGTTGAAAACGGTTGTTGGCAAATGGTCGCCGGTCCTGGGAAACAGCTGATTTGTATTCTTGTCCCAAAATGACAAACAAGGCTTCCTGAACACGCAGCTTTTCAAGTTTTGGAGCTTGGGTCAAAAAAGTTGGTTCTGCTCCTTGGTGAGGTTTGCACGGCGAAGCAACAGCCATCTTGAACTTGGTCTGGAAGCTTGATGCCGTGCTCCGTGATTTTGCGAAGCTTCTCATCGTGTTCAGTCACAAAGCTAAGCAGGGAAGTTCCTGGGCGCCTAGACAAGTTGAAGTAGGCATCAAAATCCTGGGGCATCCTGATGCGAGCGTCATACTGAAATGCTGTGTCCAACATGGAAACGACTTTGTCAAACGCTTGGTCATCTTCAACCTTTGTCAAGTCAAACCCTTCTACCAACTTCCATGCACTGCCCTGCAAGGACACAATCAGATTCAAAACAGATTCTGCAGTACGTTTCTGAAGCTTCGTCTTCAAGTGGTATATGTGGATTCTCTTTCGCCATTCCTGGTATGAACTGGGTTGGCCATCGAACACAGGTATGTATGAATCCTTCGTGAACTGTGAATCTGTGGCCGCTGCTGATGCAGAGCTGGTCATCCTTGAGGTCAGAAATCAGCTGATCTTTGGGCACAAGAATCGTTTCAAAGACGCAAGAAATCAAGTTGAGGCACCAAAGTGCTCAGAAAAGTGATAGATGATGGAGTGAAAGTTGGTGGCAAAGTTGTCAATGAGATTGGAGTTGCGCAGTGGAGCCTGGAGCGAATCGCTCCGCTACCAGTATCAACTGGTAACGAAACAGTTGTGATCAAAACACGCGAAGTTCTAGATCAGGTTGAAGTCAAAGTGCAAGGCAATCGAAGTCCTTTTCACACGTGCGTAGCCGAGGGGCTATCTGAAGTCCCACCCTTCTGGGTGTTGAATCGGAAAATGGCCACAGATGGATGAGTGGCACAATGGAAGCAAACATGCAAAATGTCAAATGACCTGAGTGCATGGAGTGCAATCAACAGAACCAAATTTTAGACACGTAATTTACCATGAAATACCATGAACATATTGTGGAATTCCGGTTCCGGTAAATCACCAGTTATGGCAAATCATGGTTTCTCTCATCTACTGTAACTTGGGCAAACTGGGGGTGTCAGGGCCAGGCATCAAAACTGGGAGATCTCAGGAAATGTGACCCCACTACATCATGGAGTCATGGATCGAGATGTTTCAAGATGTTTCAAGGATCCGCCTTAAAACCAAAAACGCCTAAACACAGCAGATGTTTTTCAGAAGTTTAGGGTGGAACTGATTGAGATCAACTTCAAGGGTATGTTTTCATGCCCTTCCATTCCATTCCATTCCGTTCCATACCATGAGGTGTATAAACATGAAATTACATTGATCTGTCTCAATTCCTGTACATTGCATTGCATTACGTACATACGAGTACCCTGTATACAAACAGTTACATGGATGGCCTTGGGATGGGATTCCCGTAGGTCCGCGAATTCAGGAAAAACACGGCACTGTTGCAATTTTGTTTTGAACATAGGAAAACAACAACAACAACAACAACAACAACAACAACAACAACAACGCAGGTTTGGATGAATGGCTCACCCCAGTTACAACAAATGACGAACAATTCAAAAAACTCTTTGCCTCGAAAGTCTGATCAGTTTGAAATTTCATTGATCATTTGAAGGACCAAGAAATGTTGGTATTCCAATATATTCCAACTGCATCCTATGTTCAAATATGCAAGCCTTTCGTCACAAACTCCAGCCACAACGATTGCCCAAAAATTTGCTGTTGTTACATGGTTAAATATTGATCAATAAACTCAATAAACCGTTGAACATGTCTATCTTTGGTCGCGTAAGCACTGCATTTGTGCAATTCTGGACCCCAAACAATCAAAAGAATCGCGGCCGATTTTCAAGACAATTCACTTTTAACACTGAATCACCTCATGTGGGTATTTGGACGGACATCCCATTTAATAGCCCGAACATAACTCAATAATCTGTACGTGGCTGGGGATAGTGCAGCTGCATAGAATACAACAACCCATGGGTAATAAACATACCGTTTCTTGCCGTTGCCAGGTTTCTGCACCAAACTGCTGTGCTGGTCTTCAGCATCCGGGAGAGTGCATCATTTAGCAGGGTCCGTGACAATATATTTGTCACAATGACCATCATTGTCGTAAAAGTAGCCGCCAACACCATTATCACCACCACCACCACCACCACCACCAGCAGCAGCAGCACCAGCACCAGCATCATCATCATCATCATCATCAGCAGCGCCATCATCATAATCAGCAGGTGCATCATTGTCATCACCACCCATGATGCTCATTACAATCACAATCATAATCATTCATCACCATCCTTCATCCATCACCCATCAACAGTCAAATGTGACTTCATCATCAGTATCGTGATCACTGTCATCATCGTCAACATCACAGTCCTCTTCATCTTCTCCATCTTTCTCATTTTTTTTGCATCTTCTTCATCTTCTTCATATTCTTCATATTCTTCATCGCCCTCATCGTCTTCATCTTCTTAATCTTCTTAATCTTCTTCATCTTAAACATCCTCTTCATCTTCATCTTCATCTTCTTCATCATCATCACCATCACCATCACCATCACCAGCATCATCATCCATCATCCATCATCCATCATCCATCATCCATCATCCATCATCCATCATCCATCATCCATCATCATCCATCATCATCATCATCATCATCATCATCTTCATCATTAGCAGCAACAGCAGCAGCAGCAACCATCATCCTCATCCATCGCCCATCATTCATCGTCCATCAATCACCATCCAGCCATCATCATCATAATATTGAATATATATATATATATCATAGTTATAATACACACAGACACACACACACACGTGTGATTTATACGTATCATCAGCGTCATCATAATCTTTACCATCAGGATCAGTACGAGTCTTGCCCATGTTTGCCATCATCAGCAGGCCTTTTGTGGTCATCACCATCATTGAGGGAGCTCTGCAGCCCACATCACCCATACTGTACCGATAACTTTTTAAGTGTAGGTCATGAGGGTTTCAAGGCACCCATATCCTCCCTGACTCGATGATTCCTGCCTCGTAGCTCTCACAGCCGGCCTGATTTGACATGGGCAATCCGTGGCTACTCTGGCTGCCCCCAGTTATGTAGGTTTTTTCCGATTTGCACCTTATTCTCGATGGATTCGAGGCTGTGAGCTGTCAGATAACGTACAGCCAGAAGAAAAAAATGTACAATTGAGAGAAATAAAAAACTGGTTAATTAGCAGCAGCAAAGATGGTCTTGTCCTGCTTGATGTCGTTGACCCGATCATTAACACCAATGTCTGCAGGGTGTGAAGTCCACGGTTTATGTGGCAAGTCCAGTGCACCCAGTTACGAAGGGTAATACTGGCTTGGATGCCCCGGAAAAGGGGACATGTTTAGCTGAATATCGTATATCTCCGATCCCCCCAACTAAAATAGACTGACCGTGATAGCTGCCCATCTCAAGTTTAGAATTGCCTTTCAAACTGACTTGGCAGGGTAAACTCTAGTTTTTGGGAAGGTACTATGTACCCACTTCATCGCTAATAAACACGACCCATCAACCTGCCCATACATAGTGTGGCAAGGCTGTCACAGTAGTTGAATGACATGGGAATCCCCCTCTGAGGATTCCTTTTTTCTGGCCGCTGCAATTGCATTCCACACAAATTCAATAACGATTGCCAAGATCATCGGATATTGTTGCACCTTCCATATCAAGCTCCCAAACATGTGGACTACTACCTCTCCACACATGCAAAACACATTCCAAATAAATTAGCAAATCACCGCTAGAAGTCATGCCGACAGTGAACCATGTTTAAACAAATCGGGGCTTCTCAAAATTAAGGCTAGTCCCAAATCCATCCGAAATCCCAGGAAGTTTGTTTGTTTACATTTTAGTATGGTTGTGCCACAGATCGCAACAGTCTAAACAAACTCCATAAAGAAACACCATCCAGGAGGGGTTGCAACAGCTCCTCCATCATGGGGATTCAACCGATTCAACCAACCCCAGGCCCCAGGGCTCTCCAAAGGCCAGTTGCTTCGTTGAATCCCCATTTTTTAACAATCAATTCTATGAGATTCGGCACAACAAGAGCTTGATAACGATAAGTAATACATATATGTACATTATACACATATGTATATTATACATAATATATATACATATCATGTATCATATATCAGCATATATCATCATATATCTGTCTTCCGCTTTCTGCAAGAAGAACCCATAATATTGCAATATATTGAAACTAATTTCGATTTCAATGTGCTTCCAAAATTGCAAATCCGCGTGTTGCTGGTGGAATGTAAATGTTAAACCACCCGTCTGGAAAATATGAAAGCCGTTGGTTTCTTGCACGTTTTGATCGCAACATGTTAACTGTTGTGTTCTCATTCAAATTGCTTCTCACCATCTGCTATTACCATCAAGTACAGTAATTGTTCATTGCAATTTGCTTAGACCGAAATGATTGTGGGTCAAAATCCTGGTACCGTAGGGTACCCTAAAAGATCTAAAGCTGCTTAATGGATGGTTACTCCTCCAGTCATATTACGGTATATTCACAGGTTTTGACAAATCCCCAAATGTCCCCTATCAACGGGGTGCCTCAATGGTCGCCAGCATCTTTTGGCGATCCTTCTCTTTCGAACATGCGGCATCCTGGATATCACAGGTCGTGGTGGGAAAAGAATGGAGAACTTACCAGTGTGTTTTGTACTTCTGTAGCTGGTACCTATGGATGTCTCATAAAGACATAACATGTTGCAAGTCACCTTTGTTCCAAGGAAACATCTTTGGAAGATATGACTCTATGCCTCTATGCAGAAACAGCATGCCAGGAAATTGCCCATGCTTAGCCAATGATGAGTTGTGGTGACCCCCCCACAAAGTGCCAAACAGTGATTCAATTTGCTATTGAGATGGAAACATTGGGAACCCTCCAATGAAACAAGTGTTGATAATTTTCAGATTACTTTGTAACCTCCAGGCTGGCTGAAGTATAGAAATTTGACGACAGCAGAGTGCCCTCAAGTATCTACGCCCCCATCACACAGAGATCGCCGTTCTTATGAAGTATGACTCTACCACTGGACGGTGTTTTGTCTTAAATAGGGCAGCTCCAAAGCCAGTAGCTTCCCATGACTTTCCCATTAAGATATATGATATATTTAAATGCCTATTTCATGTCAGTTTGTAGCTTTTTTGGCAATGCCGATGCAAGGCATACCATTGATCGCCACGAGCACCTTGACGTCAAACGTGGAGACGCGGTTCTCCATGTCATCACAAATGGCCATGATTTCCATCGCATGGATCGGACGACTCATCTGCAAAAATACGAAGACCTGGCGCGACACCGAAGCCGATCTGGGAAAATTGGGGCTCTGCAGTGGATCCACTGATTTGTTGGGCCACAATGGATGGTGGTTGATCCTGTGCCAAAAATGCGCGCCAAGATCATGTGATATCTTACAATCGAATCAAAGCTTAAAACCCACTCCTGGCATCATACCCATGTTGTTACTTCCATACTTTTCCACTTTAATTTTCCCAATTTCATGTCATTTTCAGGTCTGCAGGATTTTCACCTCTACTTCTTTAACTTTGCGCGCCTCTTCAATGCACCAGAGGCGTTTCAAGAAGGTTGGTCCAGCCAGGATCAACAAGGTGTGGCAGGAGGCCAAAAAGACTGGAAGGCACATCAGACTCGCCTCTCATGGCCCGGCTGGCGTCCGGCTGGCCCAGCTGACATGCGGAGGGTAGTAATTTTAAGCACCTTGAGGTTCTTGTCGAGGTACTTCCGTACATATATATATACATACACATATTATATCTTTATATGATAATATATGGTGTAATATATGGTAATATATATATATTATCTTTATATGATGGCAATATATGGCAACAATAGAATTACTCTATGGAGGATCCCAAGATCGTCACCATAAACCGTGGCAATCCCATGACCTTGTGACCTGAGGTCATCTACATGGACTGGATGTGACTGGCGCAATCAAGTCCCAAATAGCCCGGACATGGAGAGTCATTTCACCATATCTATACATATTTATACATGTGGAGCCTATGATTGCAGGATTTGGAAAGAAATGTTTGTTTGGAAATGGCATTCGCACCCCTTCGAGGTTCGTCTGATTGTGAAAAGTAGCATGATGACGAGGTACACATCGGAGTCCAGCAAACATTTGATCCTCGCTTTAAATCCATTGGCTTCGCATCCATGTACGCCTTGTCAAACCATCTGGTTGATAATTCAACCCATCGGAAGCATATTGGTCAGCTGGGATCATCATCCCAGGATGGAAGAGAGATACATATCATATGTATATATATATGTAATAATATATAATCATATATACAGATATAAAGTACATACTTTGTAAAACCACTAACCAGCCATCCTATTCTGGTCTCACTGTCCTTTTCGATTCAAATTGATATTTTGAAACATTACCTTTTGAGGTCCTCGGCCCCACCCTTGCAGAACCAAAGCGTGATGCATTGTGGTGTTTTTTCCGCCCAAAATGGAACCTGTTCACATTCCTCAGCACTATTTGTGGAGACCCAAACTGTCACAAAAACGGGTCGCAAAAGGGTTCAATAGTCGGCTGACCACATGAATACGCCCTCTCGCGGTAGTGGCTGCCTCGATATTGTCCTGATCAATGCAATATTTATCGATCCAAAGACGCGGTTCACGTTGATGCTGAGCCTACTTGGAGCAGGTTGGAGATGTACGTCAATAATGCTGGATATAAGAAGTAAGGTTTGCCCGTTTCTAGTTGGGAATGCAGCGTCCTTACTAGGTAGGATGCACAAGCAAGTAACAACAGCAGTATGTCTACTCGACTAAGGACATCAACAAAGTTCGGTAATTCCAGGCCTAGAAAAAATATTCACCGAGGCAACCGACCCCGACATTGGAAAACCCTCCATTTGTAACATTGCAGATATTTGTCTTAGATATAGCGACATAATATATATATATACATACAAACAATATATATATATATATGTATGTATTAGTACTACTAAAATCAATCCATGCGTCCATCCGTTCTATCCGCCCATCGATCTAGATAATAACTGCTAAAATCTACAAAAACACATTTAAACACGTGGGATTATTGTGGGATGTCTTAGCCAGCCAGAATAGATTTCTTAAAGGTGATCCTCAATGTTTTCGAACATAAGATCACCTGCATCTTCACCTGTAATTCTGTCCCCTCCCTCAAGTGCACTTTCAAGACATTTCAAGACCAACGATTCGATTCCTGGATACAAATGATTGGATGTAAACCTTCCATCATATATCCAAAATATGATCCATCTGTATAACCCGATATCCATGTGATATATCATCACATGATGATGTTTCTATCCAGATTATTCCATCATCATACTATCCAGCGCTGGAATCGCTGGACTCGCTGTGCGCCTTGAATGACATGCGCCAAATTTGCAGGGCCTGCAACGTGCAGCAACGTGCAGCAACGTGAGATCGACGGTAACAAACCATAAACCAAGGAGATATCTTGGATATATCATGGGTGTAAGCACAATGGTGCTGGGTTGTAGGGAATGTGACTATGATATATATAAATAGGTAAATAGTGTCAAACACAATTCAAGTTGCTGGACAAAGGTTTAAACCTATCCTCAAACATATCAGTCAATTGGATCATCATGCCAGGGAGCGAGTGTGAAAAGCAAACAACGATTGACACTACGAGCTTGTCACTGGGTACTTACCAGGTGTGAAGGATGTACTGCAACTATGATAAAGCTGCATATACAGCAGTAGCAATTGTGGGAAATGACACATCCAAGAGAAACACATTGTATATCCAAATTGCAGAACAATGCCCGAACTACTTATGCACGCGACTGAACATCCAGAACTGTTTCAACCGTGTTGGCCAAACAGTTCTCTGCTGCAGGGGATATTCCTCCATCCACGTCGCAACAAGCAATCTGCTGACACCTACCAAGAAAGAATTCACCAGAAACTACGAACCCAAGTTTGAAGCAGCATCCAAATGGTTTCAGACATACATACATGGCCAATAGATACGCCTATCACCATCAACTCCTCTATGGGCAAAAAACACAGAACAAATGGGCAGAGTTTTTAAAATGTGCAACACATTGTGACCCGATTCTGAAGTCCATTACATTAGGGCCAAATGGGTATTTGGGCATCGGACACCCACCATGGAAGGATTCTTGGAACCCAATCCTTTCCATCTCTTTGGGTCCGGGCGAAACAAAACCCGCGCCTCCCACTTTGCTTCGGGATCATCATGCCAGCTGTGGCTCAAGAAGGCATCGATGTCCTGGCGCTGCTGGAGGGAACAAATGATGCTGGAGCAGGGAAGCTCGGAGCTGTGGATCTCAAGAATTGCAGGTGGTTAAGCACAGTGTGTAACCAGATTGTATATTAGATGCCCCCAGTTTGGGGGACTTGCGAGTCAGGTGTCAGGTGATATATAAACCAGTTCTGGGCTGGGATGTGCATCGAAGCGAGATCTCAAAGTTCTGAAATGTTCGGAAACCATTCCAAGGATTGAAGGAAACCTAGAATTTGAAGGCTGTACCCATACATCTATCGAGACCCATACCTACATCCGTAGGGGGATGTATTGTCTGACATGTGGCAATGGATCAATACCTATTACCTATAGATACAATTTCTTAGGGGATGAACATCTATAACAACCAGCTATTTTTATGTGAAAACAAGGGCTTTTATGGGACCCATCCCCATATGGGGGTTTTCCACGTGGGCCCATGAGCCCATGAGATTCCGCCAAAGTACTCCACCACAGAGAAAAACATGTGTATAAAGCTGATTGTGCATATTCATGTATATACATATATGGTGTTTATGTATATGCAAATGTATTATGTAGTAAGCGTTATATATTATGTATCTTGCATGGTGTATATGTATATGTATATGTAACTGTATATACATATATATCCATATATGCAGGTGTCTGTGTATATGTTATTGCATTTATGTGCAATTACAGGTATGTGTAATTACATGTATGAATATGATTGTGTATTGCAGACATCTTTCTATTTACACCGATGTGTATGCATGCACATATGTATAATTATAAAAATATAATTGTAAATATATACAGCAAATCCATTCTCCACCAATTGTTCTGAGCTGGGTGAAGTCATGAAAACATCCACCGGGACCTAAACCTATCTTAAGGATAATCGGATACAGCTCTCATCACTGATCATCACACCTGCTCCTAGGGCCCGGTCCTGTAGCCCGCAGGGCGTGGACAAAGATTGTAGCAAGGGGTTGGGTGTGGAACCTGGTCACGGAACACCCTCGAGGGCCCTGGGTGTACAAAGTGTGTATATAATTGTATATATTGGAAAATACCTAACGAACCATATCATCAACTATATGCATCTATATGCTTGAATATGTAAGGGTATGATACGTTTGATTGAACGTACATGTTGAACAACACATAACGGAGAAAAAACGCAATACATAATAAGTATTCATACGCTGCGTAGATCACATGACTAATGACAAATAAGTGACTAATAATGTAGCTGGAGAAGAGGGAAAAAACACATCCAATAAGGTCCTGACCCAGTGCCAATCCACCTCTTCCCTACATCACCGGAATCCACGAACAAAGCCCATTGGCTATGTCTGAAAATGGAGAGATCCATAATGTGAAAATGGATGAAGAAAATGTAGGTGGAAACAACCCACCATTTACCCACCATAAATCCACCATTTCTCATTCGGTCCCCTGTTTTCAGACTAAACCATTGGATGGGAATGGATACAGCGGCCTGACCTTTGGCCATTGGCCATTGGATTGTCATTGCTTATATCCTCATGACATACCCATGAAGCTGTTGATATATATATTTATTTATTTATTTATCTATTTATTTATTGTATATACATAGATATATGATTATTTATATATATATATATACATATTGTATGTATATAGATAGATGCAATGAACATGTCTCTATGTACTGCAAATACGTGATGTAAACATACATATTGCCTGCAGCTTGTAATAGTTTGTATATACCTTAGACTACGTTATATATATAGTCTTACGTGGCCCAACGTTGAACCCCCACAAACAAAACAAACGCAGCAAGTGCTGGCAATGCATTCCTGCATCTGTCTACATCTATATATAACTGTACAAACGTGCGCGCACACATATATCTATATCTATATATATATATCTCTCTCTACAACTATATCTACATCTAGCTATCTTTCTATTTCTCCATCCAGTCATCACACATCCATCTATCTTATCGATATTGTCTTTCTTGTCCATATTGTTGATTTTGTATCTCTTGTTACTATTCTTGATATACATATATATATATATATAGCATATTATATTTATGTAATTATATATATATATCAAAACTTTCTATTTTGGTCTCTCCCGTCTATCTTGTCTGCCTTGTCTACCGTGTCAATCTTGTCAGTCTTCTCTATATTTATCTATCTAATCTAGTCCAATCCAAATCTAATTTGAATTGCATCCAATCCGACTCAGTCTAGTCCAATCCATCTATCTTTTGATTCATCTATCTCCCTATCTGCCGACCCCTGCCGACAGCAAGGGGAGCGCGTCAGAGAAGAGGGGACAAGAGATGGAGCAAGAAGATAGAAAGCACAGAAAAGAGTAAGAGGCAAGAGGCAAGAGGCAAGAGGCAAGAGTCAAGAGCCAGCAAGACATGGAAAAGCACGCGGCAAAGCCAGCGTTTTGGAGGCTTGGGGGTTGCTGGCATAGGTCCGTCCTTCAGTGGCACTGTGTTTCGGTGTGGCGAAGCCAAACGTGTCGGAGGTTTGAAGGCTTCAATTTGGAGCTATAGTTTCTTGTCAGTTCAGAAAGCGACGTTAGGCAGAGGCAGCCGCAGGCCTGGTCCGTCCTTCAGTGACATGGTGTTTCGGTGTGGCGAAGCCAAACGGGTCGGAGGCTTGAAGGCTCTAATTTGGATCTAGTTCATTGTCAGTTGTTAGGCAGAGGCAGCTGCAGGCCGAAGGCCAGGTCCACCCTTCAGTGGCATGGTGTTTCGGTGTGGCGAAGCCAACGTTTTGGAGGCTTGAAGGCTCCAATTTGAGCTAGTTTCTTGTCAGTTCAGAAAGCGACGTTAGGCAGAGGCAGCCGCAGGCCTGGTCCGTCCTTCAGTGGCATGGTGCTTCGGTGTGACGCAGCCAACGTTTTGGAGGCTTGAAGGCTCTAATTTGGAGCTAGTTTCTTGTCAGTTCAGAAAGCGACGTTGGGCAGAGGCAGCCGCAAGGCCAGGTCCGTCCTTCCGAAGGCCAGGGCTGCCCTTCAGTGGCATGGTGCTTTAAATCCGGCGATGCCTCGCCGGTGTGTGGTGTATACATTGCAGCTACCCTAGCTTTAGGTACCCGGGGGCGCGCCCCTGCCGCCGACCCCGCCTAAATCCTCCAATCTGCTTGTGTTTTCACGTTTTTGGGGGTTCGGGGCCGGGAAGAAAGATGCTATAAAATTATAAGATGCTTGTGGGACTCGATTTTGGACCGTTTTTGAGCCTTTTTTTGACGATTTTTCTGCTGCGCTCGGGAAGCAAGAACATCGTAAAATACACTGTGTTTGTCCTTTTCGCAGTGAAAACTGCGTAAATACCAGTGTTTTTGCTAGGCACGGGCACAAAAACACTGTAAATACCGCGGTTTTGGGCTTCCGAGGCGCAAAAAATAAAAGTATTTACGGTGTTTTTTGCTTCGAGAGTGTCAAAAAATGCCAAAACACCACCCATTAAGTTGTGTTGCAAGAACAACAACAACAAGAAGAACAAGAAGAACAATAAAAAGAACAATAAAAAGAAGAATAAGAACAACAACAACAGCAGCAACAACAACAACAAGAATTCTAACAACAACAGCAACAACAACAAGAATTCTAACAACAACAACAACAAGAATTCTAACAACAACAACAACAACAACAACAAGAACAACAACAACAACAAGAAGAACAACAACAACAAGAATTCTAACAACAACAGCAACAACAACAAGAATTCTAACAACAACAACAACAACAACAAGAACAAGAACAACAACAACAACAAGAGGAATAAGAACAAGCACAACAATGCGACAAACAGATGTGTGGTAAGATGGTTGCAAGCTGCGGTATGACAAGAACATCACACTGTGCTCTGCACCTGTGGGCATGCGCAGAGCAAATGAACAACACTAACGCTCACACTACTATATAGAACCGTAATGGCATCACCGGTGTGCGAAGGTCTACAATATATATATATATATATACAGTATATAGATCGATACAACATAAATGCGGTCACTTTTCACATCAACAAAGTCAACGCAACAGCTCAACAAACAGCGGCGGTTGTGCCTGTCATGTCTTCCTTCCGAATCTTTCCCATTGAAATGTAGCGGCACGCGTTTTTGGCTGCTTCCATAATCTTCTCCTCACCGAGTGGAAACCCTCCAACTAACATTACCCTGCCATGGCAGTTGAAAGATTACTCTCGGAATCGGAATGAGCGGTTGGCAAGGTCTTCAAGTTGCTTGACGGCATGGTAGTATGAAAACAACCAGAATACACATTGCAGCCATCTGATTTTACAGTGGCTTTTCATTTGGTATTTTCACCATAAGATACTAGAACATACCCGGAAGCTTGGAGGGATACAGTATGTGGTTACCTCCCAGTCATTACCGGCAAAATGCAAGAAGCGGCCCCTAGGTAAGTTATGGTAAGTTGGTTCATTGCTTTATGACTAGCTTCACTGGGATTGTGGATATATCATGAAATATCTAAAACCAACTGGGTGTTTTTGAACCAACTGCGTCATTGAGGGGAGGCCTTCAAAGGGACGGCCTGGCCCGATGATCTTCCTGCTCCCTCACTGGTGTTTGAATGCTTGTTCTCAACATCACGGGTGATTCAACAAGTACGTATATATGAACACAGCATTACAGATATGTATAGATGTGTGTATTTCAGGATGTACAGCGTGCATGTTTGTATGTGTACATATACACTATTCATTAGCATTATGAGCATTATTGGCATTCTTGGCATTATTAGCATTAATGCATTGTTAGTAGTATGAGTATTCTTGGTATTGTTGGTATTATTAGTATTGTTATAGTCGAAGGAAGTTTAGAAGTCAAACTTCCGACAATATGGACAGATGAAAAGCAGAGTAGGGAAGAGGCAGGGAGAAGAGAAAGATTAGAAGAGATGAGTAGAAGAGAAAGAGTAAGATGCGCGAAAAGGTAGGAAAGTCGCGATTCACTGTGTTTTTCCAATGATTTGTGGCTCCGGAGGGTCGAAAAGTAGGCTCGCTAGAGCGGCGGGTGCGGAGCCAGCTGGCCAGATGAGAGATGAAAAATTGCACGTCGTTGTGGCGCGAAGCACATTTCAAAGTCAAAATGTACAAAACACACCAGGTCCGGACCACTTTCGGCAGTTGAGATGTCGAAAAAGTGCACGCCGTTGTGGCGCGAAGCGCATTTCGAAGTCAAAATGTACAAAACACACCAGCTTCGGACCGTTTTTGGAAGTTGAGACGTCGATAAAGTGCACGCTGTTGTGGGGCGAAGCACATTTCGAAGTCAAAATGTTAAAAACACCAGGGGTTCGGACCACTTTTGGAGGTTCAGATGTCGAAAAAGTGCACGCCGTTGTGGCGCGAAGCACATTTCGAAGTCAAAATGTTAAAAACACCAGGGGTTCGGACCACTTTTGGAGGTTCAGATGTCGAAAAAGTGCATGCCGTTGTGGCGCGAAGCACATTTCGAAGTCAAAATGTTCAAAACACTAGGGGTTCGGACCACTTTTGGAAGTTCAGATGTCGCTTCGCTTCACTACACTACATTACACTACACTACACTCCACTACACTACATTACACTACACTACACTCCAGTACACTCCACTACACAACACTACATTACACTACACTACGCTCCGCTACACTACACTACACTACCTCACATTGCACTAAACTACAGTACACTCCACTACACTTCATTACACTATCTTCCACTACACTTCACTACATTACACTACACTACACTCCATTACACTACAACTACACAACTACACTCCACTACACTCCACTACACTAAATTACACTACACTACACTACATTACACTACACTACACTACATTCCGCCACACTCCACTACACCACAGATAGACAGGTAGACAGACAGATAGATAGATAGATAGATAGATAGAGAGATAGACAGGTAGACAGATAGACAGATAGACAGATGAAAGGGAGAGAGAGAGAGAGAGATAGATAGATAGATAGGTAATTAGACGAAAGAGAGAGAGAGGGAGAGAGGCGAGCTGGGTAGATGATATAGATAGATAGTAGATAGATAGATAGATAGATAGATAGAAAGATAGATAGATAGATAGATCGATAGATAGATAGATAGATCGATAGATAGATCGATAGATAGATAGATAGATCGATAGATAGATCGATAGATAGATAGATAGATCAATCGATCGATCGATCGATAGATCGATAGATACATAGATCGATACATAGAGAGATAGATAGATACATAGAGACTCAGAGAGAGAGATAGATAGATAGATAGACAGACAGACAGACAGATAGATACATAGATAGATGGACAGACAGACAGATAGATAAATAGTCAGAGAGACAGCTAGAGAAATAGATGGAGTCAGTGGCTTCGCTCTACCATCCGTGATTCACAACAACCAACCTCTCCTATAGGTTTCCTATGTTTGAAACTGCCGCCACCGCATTGTGCGGTACTACTGGTATGACAGTATTATTTATTAGTATTATTAGTACTGTTAGTATTGTTAGTAATGTTCATATTATCAGGATTACAAGTATGATTAGTTAGTATTATTAGTATTATCAGTATTATTAGTCTTATTAGTATTATCACCAGCAGTTTTGTTATTATCATTATCATAATACATAATATGTATATATACATATTATATGCTTACATCAATGATCCTTAATGTGCTTGTTTCTATGACGCATATTTCTACTATGACGCGTCAATTATCATCTTCTTTATACCAATATTGTGATGACACCTGCGTAGAAGCAACCCACTGAAGTTTTGAGCCGCCTTCGATCGATTTCCCAGAAATCCAGCAATGCTGCTGGCGGCTCTGTAAGCACCAGATGCCTTCCTCGGCTTGGTCTTTCACATCTGGAAGCTGGAGATCAGATTTAGATTTGTTTTCTGATGTTTCTCTATATACTGGGAAAACAAAATATTGTAAGTTCCAGGCCAGCCAGATGCTCAGAATGCCGGAATATTTTACTTATTTAAACGAAATGATCCTTAAAGTTAGGGATAACCTGGCACAGTAGATCCTAACTCTCATTTAGGTTTTACGTGGCACTGGTACTCAATGACCCATGATTTACTGTCAGTCTGCTGAAACCCCTGAGAGTCAAAATCACTCACAATAGCAAACAATATCATGTAACCATGAAATTGCTTCACGGTTAATGCAGTTTCACACACAGGTCTTCTGTTTCTTGCTTCAGTCTTAGTAAGGATGTTGGATGGTTTTCACTGGCTTCCGTTCACCGATTTGCTAAAGCCAGTCCCTGATACACCCTAAAAAGCTATTTCGCCTGGATTTTAGGATATATATATATATGTAAAGACTATAGACTATTAATATCTTAATGTATCTATATGTCATGTACATAATATCCCTTCTGTAGCAAACAACAAAAAGTACGAAAACACGTACATATGTATATATATATATATATGAGTATCAACCCTTTCACCCAGTTGAGGGTCCGTTGCCGGTTTTTTCTGCTGAGGAACAGAAGTTGGAAATGCACCCAGCGCCGTACGGCGGGCAACATCAAGAGGCTACCTCATAGTGAAACTGAAGCGGGCTGGCAAGCAACCATTCAGTACATAATACATGTCATGATATGTATGTATATATATATATATATGTATATGTACACATACAGATCAGTATATAATATTATACCATTATTATACATATTTTTGAGGCTCAGAAAAAAACAATGGCAAGACAAAGTTTTGGCAAGATTAGCCATTGGTAAAATTAGGTTTGGTTTATTCATACGCCGAAATATTTGTGGGAAATTCTCAGGTTGTCACAAAGCTAAAATGCTGGCAGATTCTGGGATGGTTACCCCATTCCTAAGCATGCAAGACGAGGTCGTCTAGCTAGTCTAGTTAGCACTGATAATGCTAAATGAATTCCAATCCCGATTTGAGGAACAACGAAATTCATGATTTCCGCGATATTTAACATCATTGATCACGCTTGGCATGGCTAATCTTGTGTGTAGATGGGTCCAACAACAGGGCTTGATATGGACCCCAACAAGAATAGCCCAGACTCAGGAAACTTGAGAGTCGAGGTGACCAATCTGATTTCTGTATATTGATGTAATGCAATCAGGTAAAAACCCAGAACAGCGACCCATGTCCCAATCCAAGATGTAACATAACATGAATGGAGCCCCACCCAGCTGAAATTGCCACTGCATACATCTCATATTTTTCAAGTTTTCCCAAATGCGGTTTTGTATAACAAACATCCCCATATCACCGATATCCCGTGAAAACTCAACATTTCAGGCCGCTAAAGAAAGCCAAGTTGCCGACGATGACCCCATAGACCCCGTGGAGGGTGCAGTAGAGAATGGCCCAAGAGGATCTCAAGTCACAGCACCGACTGGAAACCGTGTTGATCATTGGTAAATGGAAGTTCACACCTCCCAAAGTTGAGGATTTCATAGGCTTTAACTATGTTTCAACACATCCCCCCACTGAATGGTTTCCGTTTCAAACACATTCGATTGATTTCACTTGGAAAGCCATTGACGCGACAAGAACCCAGTGCGAGATCCTAGTGGTGAATCCAGGTGAGCAGCGTCCACAACAAAGACTCTCCCAAATTCTCCCAAAACTGTGGGATTCCCAAATTGAACATGTGACAATTGTGTTGTGCTTTTGTTTGTTTCTTGCAATCCTCAATTCGATTATAAATTATAAACCACAACTTCAAGCAACAAGGGCCAAGCATGTATTGGTCAAGTGATGTCAAGTGGGTTCTGCGAAACAGGTATTCAGTTGTTGCACCAAATATTTGGCCTTCATTCAGTGGTTGCAAGGTCTTCAAATACTAATGACATCGGCGATCCAAAATGCCAAGTTGCACAGTCTTTCCCCAAGAGGCCTCAGAGAGTCAGAGTCCATCAGAGTCTATACTTCCGAAACCGTCCAAAAACGTTCCAAAACTACACTTCCCTTTTTCCAACGTCACCTAATGCGCTACACGAACTATACAAGCACCAATACCGAAACAGAACATTCTTGTACCGCCCTTTTTAAATTCTGTGGGCGTGAGCCCTAGAAGTACAAATAAGAACTGATAAGCAACATCAACAGCTTGAGTAGGTTTGCAGATTTCGATGGCTAATTTCAGGGTCAAACAATGTAGAATGTCGGTATAATTACAAGGGATGTTCCATTGCTACAGTGGCTGGTGGCGAAATCCTGCACCAGTTGGTAGGTGATTTTTCCCATTATATATCCCATTATTTAGATTTATTTAGTGTTTCAGTTTCATGTGTCATCATTGAATTTTCAATTGTGGAATTGTGCCATGCTTGTTTCTTTTTTTTGTTTTTCTCTTTTTGTGTTTTTTACTTTTTTCTGTTTTTTTTTTATGATTTAAAGAGGTTTAAACAGAACCTGGAAATCCAAACGAAACTAAACGACCACCAAAACACCACATAGATAAAATTTTGTGACAACTGCTGCAGTTGATTTCGCCACCATCCACCGGAGGCACCATCCCCCACCGGCGCCGCCTTCACGGCCATCGCGGGCAGCAGCACCACGAAATCGGTGGCACCCTGGTGAGAAACTCACCACGTTTCACCACGCAGTAAATGATGGTGTGCTATAAAACAACCAGGCGAAAAACATAATCAAAGATGCATAAAGATACCGTGAGATAGATATCTAGTTGGTGGAATAAACATGAAACCGTATACTGTAGATGTAAAATCATGTAAATGTCTATCTAATCTATCTATGTATGAGGAACTTTGCGTTGTTTGCAAACACTGGTCCTCTTGATTGGTTTCCCCTGACCACTGCGAATGACCCACGAGCTGCTCAACCTCCATCTTTGCCACTTGACTGGAATCACCTTCAACGGAAAAATAAATCCGAACTGACGGTTGGATTATTTTTGAAAATAAGACCCAACTATAGAGGATTGTTCCAAGCATTTTTTGCAACAACCTTTTGAATGGAGTCAAATTTTCCATGATCTATCCCTAAAGATATCCAGCCCACGGCTTCACAAGATTCCCATTCCCAGATCTCCTTGGTCAAGTGGAGCATGGCAAGGCCTACCTGAACTGTGGCAATCCCCGGGTAGATTCGTGTCATATCGTTTCCAAGGATCATGGAACCATAAACTGGGGACTTCGAAAATCGGAGGATACAAAACTAATCCGTAATCCTCCTAATCCTGGTTGTTACACTAATCCGTTGCAATGCGTACTCCGGTGCTCTTATGCTACTGGAATTGAATAATTTCGGAACGCATCCCCAAGCGGCACTATTTGTTTTTGACTGCTGCTCTCTGCAGGCAGGTTCGCCCGCGCACCCAAGCAGCAGCCCAGCCAGCAGAGAGCAAAGCTGCCACCAGAGCACCCAGCAGCAGCCCCGCCCAGCAGCAGCAACAGCGGCAGCAGAAGCAGCCAACCAGCACCCTCAACGCCGCACTGCTTGCGTCTTCCTTCTCCGCGACTGCTGGGGGGGCACGATTAGCAGTTTGAGGCCCGGCGCTGGACTAATGGTAAGACGTCGGCATCTTAAGCTGAAGTGCAGCAATGCGAAGGAGAATCGGGGTTCAACTCCTGCCAGGGCTCCTCTGCAAGGCGTGGTGCGACTAAAGTTTTGTGTTTCCAGCGCTGCTTGGGCACAGCTTTGTGTTACCAATATGCTGTGCTGTTGCGCTTCGTGCGCTCCCTTTGTTGGGGTTTGCGGTTTTTGGTTCCGTAATTGAAACTTCCGCCACCGCCTTGCGCGGTACTATATATGAATACGTATATGATAATATGTAAGTTTCCTTTGTTATGCAAGTTTCCTTTATATGTAAGTTTCCTTTGTGATGTAAGGTTTTCTTGCGCAGTCGTTTTGTGCAGGGTAGTGAAGTCTAGAGTAGTGCATAGTTAGAGCATGGATCGTGTAGAGTAGTGCAAAATGTGTTGTGCAAGAGTAGCCTAAAGCAATAGTGTAGAGTACGTACTACGGAGTGCCTCTTAAACAAGCGTAACTAGCACAGGAACTGTTACATGAAGGCCACTCACGACCAGCAATCCACAATCCGGCAATCCGCAATCCGGCGCAAAGATGAGGGATTAGACTTGAAGTGGCCAGAAAAACCAAGGATGGACATTTCACCAACCGCCGGCGCAAAGCCGAAGCCGTAAAACTGGTCTTGAAAAATGGAGCCGAAATGTGCTGATTTCCATAATTCGTAAATTACCCCTATCTGAACTATTGCAGTTGCAAGACCGCCAACTATCCTTTCACACCTGAAAACTTGGATGGACCCCAAAAAAGTTGCTTTGGAATTCCTCTTGGAAAATATCCCTTATATATTGGGGTTTCATAATGAATTTTCAGGGGGGCACCCCAGTGGGAAGCTTTGCCAACAGGGAATCGGTTGGCCAGGCTTCGGTCGTTACAGTTCAACTGTAGATACTGTACATCCACGACATAGAGTTGATCGATGCTTATAAGTTCATAGATGTTGATAGTGTAAATCTAAGCCTGACACACCAGCTTCATGCCCAGTATCAAGTTCACCAACATCATCCAAAATGTATCTCGCCACGCGCCGCGCACATTTCCCCACTGAGGCTTGGCACCCAGAGACGCCCCACAGTGGCACGGGAAGGTAGGCGCAGGCCCAATGCCAAATAGGGAAGCTGCACCAAATGCCTCGGGACCGGCTTTGAGATACAGAATTGGGGTCCCCAAGAGAATTCGGTGGTAAACTAGATGGTTAATGATTGTTATTGGTTCACCTGGTTGGGAAACTCAATGCGTAGCTCCTGGGCTTCCCAGGAAGTATTGCAGGAACTATAACCCCTCCGAATCGGCCCCTGCTAACCACAGAGGTTCCAGGTTTCCGACTCTATTTGGGGGGTGCTATGTGTGGATGTACAAACATGCACGTATGAATCGTATGAGCGTGTTGGACTATACATTTTCGGGTTCCGTGAGGTTTTGGTCTTGAGACATGCCTAGTGATACAATCTGATTTCATGAAACACGGCTGGAAAATAAATCTCTACAGCATGTTTTGTGGGAAAATTGTTAGCACATTTATAGGGTTTTCCAAGCCACCCAGTCTACTGGAGGGTATGGAATTGTGTACTCTACGAATTCATTAAGGATGCATCAGTTCACCACCAGGAGTGGCAATCATCTGGGATCTCCCAATTATGTCAACCCAGGAAAAAATGCAGGTTTACCAAGATAGTGGAACCATTTCTTATCATGCCTTGCTGCCTTACATTTACATCAATTTAGCATGTTCAATGTGTCCCCTTTTTTGTACATGAATCAGGGTTTCTTGACGACATTCTGGTTCAATGACTGTCTCTCTCTCTCTCTCTCAAACATCGTTTGTTGCTTAAGCTGGATGTTCACCACATACTCATGCTCATACATGATCTTGACTGGGATACAGGCAGGCCCATACGTTGTCTTTTAGTGAAACCATGACCCTGTAGATGGCACAAAATGAGACCCCGGGTCTGGCCCACGGTGATTTGCAGTTATACCATGTTATACCCCTGAATTCATGTGAATTCACAGAATCCCGTTTCAAGGTTTCATTCAGCAAAATAAAGATATGGACAGATTTACAACCTGTAGGGAAAGGAACATATTCATTTGTATTTGGGAGTTTGTAATCCAGAAATTTATTCTACATATATATTTGACATTCATTCTGGGTATCTTGACATATCCTCTGACATCACTTCGGGTAAACCTTCTGAGATAATTTCCTGACATAGATTGGGGCAAACATTCTGACATCAACTCTGGCATCAGCTCTTGCATATCGTTTGACTTTATATATGTGCCAAATATTATATATAAATAATATTTCGACAATTGATCTGGACATTGTCGTGTGGTTCATTCTGACCCCAACCCTTCGAGGCACACAGAGTCTGCGAAATTGGGGCACCGGATCCGGTAGCTGGCTACAACATTGCTACAGCCATTCCAAATTGGGGTGAAAAATCATGGAAAAAAGTATTATATAATGATGTTTAATGGTTATTTAATGTTATTTAATGTTATTTAATGATTTAATTGTGATTTAATGGAATTTATTGGGATGTTGACGGGGATATGAGCAATGGGATGGGATATTCATGTGGGCAAAACAATGTCATAAACCACCCATGACTGGGAATGGTTTATACATACCACCTATTAAAAAAAATGTTGCCTTGGGGATGATGAATTATTGTTTTACCCACATTACTTGGGGTATCTGAACCATCTACTACAGGATGATGATGCACATATATGTACACAATTGTACACATACATATATAACAGTGCATGGGGAACATTTCATCCCTCTCCTATGCGGGCAAAACCACCAGGTCGGCCCTCCTTCATCTATGACATCAACCCTTGCTTTAATATCACCTTGTCTGATAAACTTAGGGCGGTTACCAAAGCGATGTCTCCTATTGAAACGGGCTGCCCCTTCATTTTTTTATCATACAAGTTTATCATCCGTTCAGGGTTGTCCTCATCTGCGATATATGTTCAACATTGATAGTTGAGTCTCTGTCGGTGTTGTTGTTGTTGTTGCTGTTGTTGCTGTTGCTGTTGCTGTTGTTGTTGTTGTTGTTGTTGTTGATTATCTTGTTGCTAATCTTGTTGTTGTTGTTGTTGTTGTTTTTCTTGTTGTTGTTATTTTTCTTGCTGCTGCAGTTGCAGCTGTTCTTGTTGTTGTTGCTGCTGCTGTTGTTGTTGTTGTAGTTGTTGTTGCTGCTGCTTTTCTTGCTGTTGTCGTTGTCGTTGTTCTTGTTCTTGTTGTTGTTGTTGTTGTTGCTGTCGTTGTTCTTGTTGTTGTTGCTGCTGTTGATGGTTATATCATATCTAATGAAATCCAGGTACATGATGATACATGTATTTAACACAACATTGATGATTTTTCTCATTTTACATGAACGGTTTTTCATTGATTGTGCTGCCCGAGTTGCATCAGGATATACATGATGGAAATCGTCCCAATGGTGAACGCACCTTCACGGCATGTCATTCAAACATGGCTTGCTGGAAAATCCACCATTCAGTTCGATGATTTCCCCATTAAAACCTCCGTTGAGTTCGGGGATTTCTTGGCTACGCAGCCATATTTGATTACCAGAGGCTAATCGTCATTATGTTTTTCCAAGTGGATCTTAAAATTTGAGCCATCTTTTGGATCTAAATGAGGCTCACATCCGGAAAACAGATCGTATGAACTTGTTACCCTCTGGTAATTGAACACAGCTAATGGAAGCCATGGCCCATGTGGTTCAATGATTTACCTATTAGAAATGGTGGTTTTCAAAACCTAATCGAAGAGTATAGCAAAGTACTGAAATGGGACTTAAACAGTACTTGACATTGCCCGAAGGAAGTTTAGAAGTCAAACTTCCGATGTAAGTGCGCGAAAAGGTAGAAAAGTCGCCATTCATTATGTTTTTCCAATGGTTTGTGGCTCTGGAGGGTCGAAAACTAGGCTCGCTAAAGCCGCAGGTGCGGAGCTGTCTGGGGAGATGAGAGATGAAAACTTGCACGTCGTTGTGGCGTGAAGCACATTTCGAGCCAAAAAGTGTTAAACAAACTCACGGTCTCAGACCACTTTTGGAAGTTGAGATGGTGAAAAAGTGCACAGCGTGGCGCTGCAAAGCACATTTCGAAGTCAAAATGGGAAAAACACCATATGCCCGGACCACTTTTGGAGGTTCGGATGTGGTAAAAGTGCACGCTGCTGTGGCGGGAAGCACATTTCGCAGTCAAAATGGTAAAAAAAAACACGACATGGTCGGACCACCTTCGGACGATCAACCACACCACACCACACCACACCACACCACACCACACCACACCACACCACAACGACAACCACAACAACAACAACGACGACGACGACGACGACGACTACTACTACTACCACCACCACCACCACCACCACCACCACTGCTACCAGCTACCACCACCGCTACCGCTACCGCTACCGCTACCGCTCTGCAGCTACAACTACAACTACTACGGCAGCTAGCTACAACTACAACTACAACATTGCAACTACAACAACTACAACTACAGCTACTACTCGAACTACTACAACAACTACAACTGCAACTACGACAACAACTACTACAGCGACAACTACAACATTACCACGACAACTGCAACAACATCAACTATAGCTACAGTACAACTACAACGACACTAATTACAATACAACTACAACTGCAACTACAATTAAATTGCGCTACACTACACCACACTACGTACAGCACTTGTGGTTCAGGTGACCACTGCAACCACCTCAAAAACACAACTCCAACCATCTTTCAGTCCATCAGTGGGTTCGCTCTGCCATCCATGCATCACAACAACTCACCTCTCCTATAGTGTCCTATCTTTGAAACTTCCGCCAACGCCTTGTGCGGTACTACTGGTATCATATTTCAACCACATATCCTGTCATATACTATCCATGCCAGCTTTATGTGCTACAGGACCCTATGTGTGGCTAGAAATAGATAGAAATAGCATGGTTGCTCTCCATTGCCAAGTTTTACTCTAAGGCTCAGACTTCCATTTACGACTATGTGGGATATGACCATATGTATATATATATAATATTAAATATTATGTATGCATAAACTTGCATCAATCATATTCTAATTATTATTCTGAGATACAATGTGTGTACAGGCCCATCTGTGATTATGTTTATTGATCATATTAATGATGTGTCTGTCTCCGATAGATCCAAATGTATCCAAATGTGGCATTTGTTGAGTCCAAAAGTTGTTTTTGCCCTGAACGAGCTCACAAACTGGGGCTTACTGATGTGACACAGAAGCCTCTGTCATCCGTGTTGGTCCAAAGGGTTTTCACATATTTTCACTACTACCCTCTGGTAATTACACATGGTTTGCTTGAAGACTTGAAGATTCCTGATTTATATAGATGATTTCCTGTGATTTTCCCATTGACATGGTGATTTCATAATACTGTAATTAATAGGGGATCCCCAAAATGGTTGGTTTATAATGGAAAATCCTATTAAAATGAATGATTGAGGGGTACCCCCATTTCAGGAAACCTCTAAATGCCCATTTCGTGCGGGAAATGACCAGCTAGCCGACAAAACACCGGCGATCGACGGGTCGGCCTAGATCACAGTCTGTCTCTTCATCCTCGATGTGGCAGGGTTTTCCTTCATCAAAATGTGGTGGAAGCTGCTTCCTTGGCGAAAATCTGAAGTGGAAGTGGGAAATGTATGAAAATAAAAGGAATGGACCATGATGGATCTGCGTGATACATGGGTTTGTTTGAAATATATAGTACCTCTCAATCCATTGCTTAGTCTTAGTCATGCTTATATAATCATCATTTTCCCTGTTAAAATGGCCATTGAGAATCCACACAGCAAGCTTAGGATAGTGCCAGAAAGCAGGTTACTATCCAGGCCCTTTGTTCGGTGAAGAACATCAGAGGCAGCGGCAGCATCGGAAGCAGGGAAAGCAGGGGAAGCAGCAGTAGAAACGGTAGTAGCAGCGGACCAGCATGGCCTGGGCCTTGATCCATACCGACCGTATTTTGAATATTCAAATATTGTCAGTTCTTTGCGCGGACGAGAGCAATGCGGGTGTGTTTCTTGCGCCCTGTGGCGACCTATTCATCTCAATTCAATGATTGCTTAAATCATGTTTAACCATGTTAAACCTTCAGTATTGTGCGAAGCGGATCATACAACCAATCACCAGGGTTTACCCCCAAAAAACACCCATTGCGACCAAGCTTCATGTAATTCACCAATGTGTCTGTATGCCACACCGCACACTTGATGCCAAGGATAATGAGCAGAATCGAACCCACCTCCCACCGCAAAAGTGCCCACGGTCTTGCAACTCGGTGCAATATGATATTAATATGGGGAAAAACATGGGAAATCCTATGGGAAAACCATAAATGTATATATCTTGAATCAATTTGAATTGAAATGAATTGAATATCAAGTCCTAATCACTCCGACTTATGGCTAGATATGGAAAGTGATTTCACTGCATGTCTGGTATTGGGGCCTTATGATGTAAGATCTCCAATGACCACAGCTCCAAATACAGTTTGCAGTGGACGATCCTGGAACTCAGCGAATGTATCGTACCCGGATTGTAAACCAAATACAAACCAGCCTACATAGAAGCACTTTGCAAACAAGTGAGAAGTGATTCAAAACCCGGCGACACTGCGTTTAAGATAACACGACATAATACGACATGTTGTAGCTGGTATTGCCTGGTATAGCTCGATAACCAACCCCATGTGGGAAATAATCGAATGGGCATGAAGTGCAGCTCGTCTCCAATGAATGTGGCATCAAAAGATCAGCAAATTGAATCGGTGAAAAATCGGGTTGTAACTACTTGTAACTGCAACCCAGAAAAAGTCCTTAAAAAAAAGGTAACAGCAACAAAGAAGGGATCTTGTGTTTGGAATGATTGATTCCTGGTATGTTGCAGTGGCCAGGGGAGCTGATTGGGATAAACGGGTCCTAGAATAAGTACCATCCTAGAATATATCAAAATATACCACATATACAGCCGGTTCAATGTTGAACGACTTCAGTCCAGCCTTGGGGATTTTCAATTTGATATCGATTACTCCAAGATGGGTAGTTGCTGGACTTGGAATTGGACATCTCCTATGTTTGATCCTGACTATATCCCATTCATCCAATATTTTTTTGTTCGCATAAAACCTCCCTCGTGAAATATCTCAAAAGATATCCTCATTATCTCCATTCTATTCCAGTAGTTGGTCGGTTAATTAGTATCATGATCCCAAACATGTTCCATATTTTATCAGAATATCTATAATATTCCCAGTCTTGCTGGTATATTAATCCCATTTAATCCGGCTAATATTCATGCATATTCCAGATGTTGTGGGAATATTCCCACTGACTTATCCAATTATATCTCTATATCTGACCCATGAATCCCAAAAATCTGCCCCAAACCCACCTTGGAGCCGAAGCGATCCGAAGGAAGGACCGCGCAGAGCCACGCCAAACATCCAAAGGAGCGCAGCACGTCGCGAATCAACAGGAAAGCGGCGGCTTGAGAGGTCCAAGAGGTATAGACCTCAATCAGAGAAAAAATCGTCATATAATCATATACATACATGTATCTGTGCAAATACATAAAATATGTACATTCTATATGATTTTATGTAAACACACACACATATATTATATATGCATGTATACATATATGTATGTAAATCTACAACTTAATACATGTATGTCTGCCTCTGATCTCATTGAGCGAATATTTACAGGTTTTTCATAAGTACATGATTGTACCTTTACATCCGTGTACATCAGCATGCAAGTCCTTGTACTTGATGTGGGAACACCCATTTGGCAAGTCCTTGTCCACATTGCCCCCCTTCTTGTGCGGCACCCAACACTTTAAAAAGACGGTAGAAGCTATGGGCTATGGGAAAGGTGTCAACACAAAACCTATCCTTTTCAATCCTTTTCAGGTATCAAACCATATCAAACTATCTCATTTTTGGGTATGATTTTGAGCCAGTCGCATAAGTATTGGATTGCGGGGATCGTTGATATACATGAAATGTCCGTGGTCCATTGGATTCGAATCCCCCGATGTCAGACATTGGATCGAATCCATGGATTTCAGGATAGTTGAAGCATTTGAAACATGTTGAAACAAATGCTGCTCTGGAATGTATGAGTGGTTCAATGAGACTCCTATGTATCATTATGTATCTGTGTATATATAAGCTTTATGTGATCATCTAAGTGCTTGTCTATCAAGCAAAATCTTGGAACTGCATGTTTACTTGAACTTCCAGCTTCTAACACGGCCGCGAAAAAAAACGCTTTTCGCCGGGCGACCCACCACATGGAGAGGAGCATGAAGACTGCGCCCAGCAGAAATGCTGGCCATCGCACTCGCAAGTGCACCTGGGATCTGCGTACACCAAAACAGCTGGATGCTCAACTGCGAAATATGTGATTATCAGTATAATGTGATTACTGTTGTAAAAATGTAGGTCAAACATCGAAATTGGCGAAACGGGCCGTGTTACAAAACGTTACAGGTATATGTACAGTATATTATATATATATATACACAGTATATATATATATATTACATACACGCAATGGGTGACCTCTAATGGCTGTAATGGCTCTGCCGGACATGGTTTTCATGTCGGGATTCCGGACAGATCATGATGGTCCTCGATGGTCACTGGATAGCTTTCATGGGGGATACTCCGGGCATCACATTGAATTCAGTTGATGTTCAAAAGGGGCAAGCCCTCCTCGAACATCACATCCAGTTGCCAGCCCTTTGAAAAAACTGCGCATCTTTCGCTGGGTTCTGTGACCTCTAATCTCAGCATTGTGAGTACAGTTCCACTGCTCTTCATTCCTTACAATCTTACAGCACTTCAAGACCTTTTGAAGCCAGCAACAAACCTCCAAAGCACCCAAAAAACTCTGCTGAATCCATGTTTGATCTCCTTGGCTCCCAGATGTCATCCCCAACTTGTCAAGAAGGGCTAGCTTCTTTTGGGCAAAGCTTTCAAACCCATGGATGATTGAAAGTGGCAATGAGAAACAACAGGGGTTAACCACATACACTGGTAGGACAAAAGTTGCGCTTGTTGAGCTTCCGACGGTGAACATGTTTGGTTTCTTCTTCTGCACACCCTTTCCCCTTAGAATCCTAGCATGGAGCTTTGTCGGACCCCGGTCGAATTTCCACCCTCCAAAAGCTTTTAATCTTATAGATTTAAAAGCGGGTGATAATTGACCGTCCCACACCTGCCACACGAAATGGACTTGGAAATGTGATCCGCGGTTGACCAAGGTGGATGCTGTGTCAAGCTGTCAAGAAGCATAAACTTTGTTCCTCCTGAAGGGTAAAAAAAGCTTATTCAGTGGGAATTGTCAAGTCAGCTGCTGCTTGTTGCACGTGCTTCAGCTTGGTCATCATACTCCACATAAAATATCTGCATCCTCTGGTTTCAAAGCCTTTCTGTGCAGCGCCTTTGCCTTCTTCATTGTTGCCATGGCGTCTCATTTGCAACTCTGTTCGATTGAGGATTTTGGGAAACGTCCATACTCTTTTCTGTAATGCTACACCTGTGCCGTGACGCAGGGTAGAAAAAGCTTATTCAGTGGGAATTGTCAAGTCAGCTGCTGCTTGTTGCACGTGCTTCAGCTTGGTCATCATACTCCACATAAAATATCTGCATCCTCTGGTTTCAAAGCCTTTCTGTGCAGCGCCTTTGCCTTCTTCATTGTTGCCATGGCGTCTCATTTGCAACTCTGTTCGATTGAGGATTTTGGGAAACGTCCATACTCTTTTCTGCAATGCCATACCTGTGCCGTGACGCAGGGTAAAAAAAGCTTATTCAGTGGGAATTGTCAAGTCAGCTGCTGCTTGCTGCACGTGCTTCAGCTTGGTCATCATACTCCACATAAAATATCTGCATCCTCTGGTTTCAAAGCCTTTCTGTGCAGCGCCCTTGCCTTCTTCATTGTTGCCATGGCGTCTCATTTGCAACTCTGTTCGATTGAGGATTTTGGGAAACGTCCATACTCTTTTCTGCAATGCTACACCTGTGCCGTGACGCAGGGTAAAAAAAGCTTATTCAGTGGGAATTGTCAAGTCAGCTGCTGCTTGTTGCACGTGCTTCAGCTTGGTCATCATACTCCACATAAAATATCTGCATCCTCTGGTTTCAAAGCCTTTCTGTGCAGCGCCTTTGCCTTCTTCATTGTTGCCATGGCGTCTCATTTGCAACTCTGTTCGATTGAGGATTTTGGGAAACGTCCATACTCTGTTCTGCAATGCTACACCTGTGCCGTGACGCAGGGTAAAAAAAGCTTATTCAGTGGGAATTGTCAAGTCAGCTGCTGCTTGTTGCACGTGCTTCAGCTTGGTCATCATACTCCACATAAAATATCTGCATCCTCTGGTTTCAAAGCCTTTCTGTGCAGCGCCGTTGCCTTCTTCATTGTTGCCATGGCGTCTCATTTGCAACTCTGTTCGATTGAGGATTTTGGGAAACGTCCATACTCTTTTCTGCAATGCTACACCTGTGCCGTGACGCAGGGTAAAAAAAGCTTATTCAGTGGGAATTGTCAAGTCAGCTGCTGCTTGTTGCACGTGCTTCAGCTTGGTCATCATACTCCACATAAAATATCTGCATCCTCTGGTTTCAAAGCCTTTCTGTGCAGCGCCTTTGCCTTCTTCATTGTTGCCATGGCGTCTCATTTGCAACTCTGTTCGATTGAGGATTTTGGGAAACGTCCATACTCTTTCTGCAATGCTACACCTGTGCCGTGACGCAGGGTAAAAAAAGCTTATTCAGTGGGAATTGTCAAGTCAGCTGCTGCTTGTTGCACGTGCTTCAGCTTGGTCATCATACTCCACATAAAATATCTGCATCCTCTGGTTTCAAAGCCTTTCTGTGCAGCGCCCTTGCCTTCTTCATTGTTGCCATGGCGTCTCATTTGCAACTCTGTTCGATTGAGGATTTTGGGAAACGTCCATACTCTTTTCTGCAATGCTACACCTGTGCCGTGACGCAGGGTAAAAAAAGCTTATTCAGTGGGAATTGTCAAGTCAGCTGCTGCTTGTTGCACGTGCTTCAGCTTGGTCATCATACTCCACATAAAATATCTGCATCCTCTGGTTTCAAAGCCTTTCTGTGCAGCGCCCTTGCCTTCTTCATTGTTGCCATGGCGTCTCATTTGCAACTCTGTTCGATTGAGGATTTTGGGAAACGTCCATACTCTTTTCTGCAATGCTACACCTGTGCCGTGACGCAGGGTAAAAAAAGCTTATTCAGTGGGAATTGTCAAGTCAGCTGCTGCTTGTTGCACGTGCTTCAGCTTGGTCATCATACTCCACATAAAATATCTGCATCCTCTGGTTTCAAAGCCTTTCTGTGCAGCGCCTTTGCCTTCTTCATTGTTGCCATGGCGTCTCATTTGCAACTCTGTTCGATTGAGGATTTTGGGAAACGTCCATACTCTGTTCTGCAATGCTACACCTGTGCCGTGACGCAGGGTAAAAAAAGCTTATTCAGTGGGAATTGTCAAGTCAGCTGCTGCTTGTTGCACGTGCTTCAGCTTGGTCATCATACTCCACATAAAATATCTGCATCCTCTGGTTTCAAAGCCTTTCTGTGCAGCGCCCTTGCCTTCTTCATTGTTGCCATGGCGTCTCATTTGCAACTCTGTTCGATTGAGGATTTTGGGAAACGTCCATACTCTTTTCTGCAATGCTACACCTGTGCCGTGACGCAGGGTACAAAAAGCTTATTCAGTGGGAATTGTCAAGTCAGCTGCTGCTTGTTGCACGTGCTTCAGCTTGGTCATCATACTCCACATAAAATATCTGCATCCTCTGGTTTCAAAGCCTTTCTGTGCAGCGCCTTTCATTGTTGCCATGGCGTCTCATTTGCAACTCTGTTCGATTGAGGATTTTGGGAAACGTCCATACTCTTTTCTGCAATGCTACACCTGTGCCGTGACGCAGGGTAAAAAAAGCTTATTCAGTGGGAATTGTCAAGTCAGCTGCTGCTTGTTGCACGTGCTTCAGCTTGGTCATCATACTCCACATAAAATATCTGCATCCTCTGGTTTCAAAGCCTTTCTGTGCAGCGCCCTTGCCTTCTTCATTGTTGCCATGGCGTCTCATTTGCAACTCTGTTCGATTGAGGATTTTGGGAAACGTCCATACTCTTTTCTGCAATGCTACACCTGTGCCGTGACGCACTGGTAGGACAAAAGTTGCGCTTGTTGAGCTTCCGACGGTGAACATGTTTGGTTTCTTCTTCTGCACACCCTTTCCCCTTAGAATCCTAGCATGGAGCTTTGTCGGACCCCGGTCGAATTTCCACCCTCCAAAAGCTTTTAATCTTATAGATTTAAAAGCGGGTGATAATTGACCGTCCCACACCTGCCACACGAAATGGACTTGGAAATGTGATCCGCGGTTGACCAAGGTGGATGCTGTGTCAAGCTGTCAAGAAGCATAAACTTTGTTCCTCCTGAAGTATTTCTATATACACGGTGTAATACAATATATATATGGTACCCCCCCCTGGTACCTACCTTTCCTTGATTTATACTGTAAATTACAGTATAATTTGCTTATTTTCATGGTTCGTGCAAAGTACTTGCTGTAGTTTGCCCAAGTGAGAACTTGTAACGCAGCACTTTGTGCAAAGCCTTCATAGCTTCATCCTTTTGAACCCACCCTCCCTCAAGCATGTAACCGTGATTCGTGCAAAGTACTTGCTGTAGTTTGCCCAAGTGAGAACTTGTAACGCAGCACTTTGTGCAAAGCCTTCATAGCTTCATCCTTTTGAATCCACCCTTCCTAAAGTGTCAAGCACGTGAACCACGTGGTTCGTGCAAAGTACTTGCTGTAGTTTGCCCAAGTGAGAACTTGTAACGCAGCACTTTGTGCAAAGCCTTCATAGCTTCATCCTTTTGAACCCACGCTCCCTCAAGCATGTAACCCACATGGTTCTTGCAAATGACTTGCTGCCAGCACAGATGTAGTTACGAAGAAAGGAAGGAATTAACAGTAAAAAGTAGGTATCAGGGGGGGGGTTAGCATATATATATATAAATATATCATAATCAATATCATATCTATGGTACATTAAAATGATCTATTGGAATTCAGATACATGTAATCTCTCTCTCTCTATATATATATATAGCGTTGTTTCCCTGGCGAGGCACACGTCGGTTGGCCCTTTGAGCTTCGGAGAGGTTTTTCGACACAAACTCACAACCTCAGGCCGCTTGATGGCTGTGAAGTGCCCAGCTTCCAGTAAGCTGTGGATATGGATGTTTATGAAGGAAAAAGGTATGAGGAAACAATAGGGAACATGATCTTTACCCGGAAATCAAGGGTCTGATATTTTCCAGTCAACCAGTTTGGGCAGATAAGATCACCGTGATCTTTCACTGGGTTACAGTTGATCATTGATCATGTGAACCTCCAACAATGGGGGAAACTGGCTCATGATCAATCGGACCAATTTCTGAGTTTATCCGATTTAACACATTTAACTACGGCAAGTAGAAACAAATGGTCCACTTTTTGGGGCCTGAAATGAGAAAATGCATTGTTTTCCCCATGACTGGGAGAACCTTACGTGGCAAAGCACTTCACCACAGAGTAATCCAATAGTCAATGTGAGTTTCGATTGGAAACGCTGAAAATTACTTCCCCAGGATGATTCTACATTTGCCATTTGCCCAAAACATCAGAACATTTCCGAGAATCTCCGGCCACCAGATGTGTAAAAATGCGGTGGATGTGTATACATGATAATATCATACACTAGTCATCAATGATCAAAAATCGTGGTGGTTAATAGATCTGTATATGTAATATACAGAGATACCCTGACTCCCCTAACATATGTAAACACATAGACAATTTGATAGACAAACATTTGTAATTAGACAATTAGAATCAAATAGACAAACAATAATAAGAAACAAGTATATCCAGAAGTAAGGCCATTTGGGGATGATCACGCTACTAGCATCAGCATTTCGATATATTTCGATGGACGTGGGCAGGGTCCATTGGGATCATCGGGATGAAAACAAGAAACAAATCTGAGTTATATGAAGATGAACACGGTACGTTCACATGCATTGATTATCATTGATTCATGCCATGTCATAGATTTTCTAGTCTTTGCCGTATGAATATTCTAAGGTGAAACAACAAGTCAAAGATCCTCCCCCTCTGCATTCACCTGCAATCTGGGAGCTTGTGTCATCGCCAGTATCCTTCACACCCATGGCAGCTGTCATGATGGCATTGGCAGGGCATGGCGTAGTAGTAGAAACTGGCGACGCTTTGCACAGTTCTCCTGCCACAAGCAGGACCCAACTCATCAAGATGCAACTGGAAACCCAAAAATTGGCTCTGGAAAATATGTTCCTATGAAACATGTGGCCAATTCTGGGCTTCATGTTAAAATTACACTTCGAGGTGATCTATCGAGTCCATTATCTCCCACTATATCTCGGTGGAACTTAGGGTTCCACATGGTTCCACATATTATTGTTATTATTATTCCACTGTCTTGTGGGACAAATTATATAATCACTCACCGACCTGAAATAAAAGCATCTTGGGATAGTTCACCCAATCAATTTTCCATCATTCCAGAATTCGTTGGTGTGAGGTCGTGGTGAATCTATCCAACATTTGGGGATACTCTGGGAGTTTGCAGTGGAAAAACTTCCAACATCTTTGACATCGTTTGACATAGCAGAAGCTAATCATGAAAGCTCAAGCAAGCTCAAGCATCAAACGTCACCAGAGTCAGTTTTGGCTCAGCCTTGGGGCTTCAAACATAAACAAATATGTAAAAATGCTTGTGTTCAAGAAGCTAACTGCCACCGATACGCGCCCTCGCCTGCTTTTGACATTGTTGCACGATGGGTGGGCGCGCGGTGCTACTGTTGCGACAAAGAGCTGGTGAAGCAATCCAAGTGGGAAGGTGGACACCACATGACACCACAAATACCCTCCAACTGACATAGACCCTTCATGACCCTTCCAAATAAGATCAAATAAGGGCTTGGAACAGTTGGAAGACTACTCTTCTCTTGGTCGATGGGCTGCTTTAATGCGTGGAATAGCGCACCCTCGAATCGACAGCCCGTGGCCTTTTTCTGGGACACCCAAGTGAACAAATCCACTACACAAAGAAAATCCACTCTTCCACCGCGGCTTCTTCAGGGCTTTGGCAAGGTTGCCAGGGGGCGTTACTAGGGTAGAAGGATGTGCAGATTCTCTCCCAAGGTTTCCCATTCCTGCCCAACTTGACCCAACATCGGGGGTAAAAAAAAACATCTTGCCACGGCCAATCTTGGACAGCCGTACAGCTTGAACTGGGATGTCACATCTCCCCCTAAAAATATGTAGCCAAGATTAGCCAAGTGTAGCCAAGAAACAAGCCAATGCTTGGCTAAGGTCTACCCAGATCTTTACTGTATCCAGGGGGCGTTGTCACCCATGGGGGTTGTCACACCAGGGGCAACAGGGATTCAGGGCGGACCAACTGAGTTGAAATGCTAGGTTCACCTTCCAACCCACCATGTACGGTGACTGGGACCAATAAAGGCATTGTAGTCCAGCCAACCTAGTTGTAACCGCTGGTTTACTGAGGATGAGGGTGGGCTTTCCATTTTGTGTCATTTATAGTATAATTATATTCATATGCACAGTGCCACCTCAATGTATCAACCCGAGTCTATCAATTCGCGGTCGAAACTACCTAGACATCAGGCAGGCCAAGGTCTTGCGTCAAAGCCACCCCCGTGAACCAAAAACATGTGAGAAAGTCACTGCTGAGATGCTCATCCTGCTTTTTAGGGATGGAACATGCAAACATGTAGGAATCCAGCAGGCCAGTTATGGATGTTGTGCGCAGATTTTTTCCGATGATTGTTTCTCTCTATCTGCGGTGTATGACGTGGGTCACCCTTGTTATTGGGTCTACACAAGTTGTCTGAGCTGGCAGAGCACATAGCATCATGGATCATGGCATACGTACCGTACATTTTGGTGATAGGTGCGATGACCTGGGAATTGGTCGGTTTCTCCTTTTCTCCTCATCCATCACACGTCTTCCATTGCCCTGTCGCAATTTTGCGACATTTCCACACTGCATTGGCAAAACATAAGCACACAAAGTGCTGGGACATTCCCCTGACTCCGTTCCTCCCAACGATACATACCACAGACAGCAGGTCCATGCTTTTTTTTACAATGACTAGTTTCCGAGTCCGTTGGAGATCTGTGTTGGTTGCCGGGGTCCTTGCTAAAATGTCCCTCAGTCACTATTCGAACGATTGGCCTGTCTCAAATCAATTCGAGACTCTACCCACATGGTACAGTATATGCAACCCATGGTGGGGGCAGAAACCAACTTATCTATAGAGATAGCCACTTACAGGATCTCTTCCTCCTGGCAATCTAACACGATCCAAGTCGAATTCTTCTCTTGAAGAGCTTTTCTGTTTGCTTTGTTCCCATCTCGCATAGAATGTAATCACTGATTGATTGAAACCATGGAAGCTTTCTAGCCAAAGCATGATAGAGTAATTTCCCAAACATGAAATAAGAGGTTGATCAGTGGCTACCTCGCAGCTCAGCTCCCACGATTCCCGAAGGCTGTGGGTTCTTGTGGCCAGAGAGTCATTGAGCCTCGCGCTGCGAAAGGCCGAAAAATGCCGGCCTTTGGTCTGATCCAGTCCCCTGAGAATGGAGTCTAACTAACTTGTTACCGTGCATCTCAGGAATATCCAGGAATGGCAGCTACAGTAACTATGCTAGTCATGGCATGTCATGGCTAAGCAAGCTGCAAAACTCTTGGCTGGATATGGCTGGATAGTGCATTCATATATACATGCGGCTAAAACGTAAGCCGTGGCACTACTAGTAGCAGGTCAATGAAAGGGTAATTACCACTGAAAAAGGGATCAAATATGGTAGGATTGTTGACCAAAAAACTGACGGTTTGCGAAAATGAAGCCTTCAACGATGACAACAGCAGAAACTGCTGGCAAATATGAGCAGTGAAATATGGGGTTCTCTCAAAAATTGGAAACCCTAAATCCTATGGTTTGTTGTAATCAATGTTCTTCACAGTGAATATATCGAACTTGCCATAAGTGGAGGTATTGCACACCCGCGGCGTGGGGGACGGAGTGCCGTGTCAACGAGCTTTGCATCACCCCATGAGTCACATCGTCCACGTAGACCGATCATGTTGCATGATATACTGACATACAGTCGGAAATACCATCTAAATATCTAACCGGATGTATCCGGCTCACGTTCTGTTTTGTTGAAATCCTGACATATAGTTTGAGATATTCTCTCTAACATAGGCATGCAAAACTGCTATTTGAATCTATTTGAAAGATTTTGAAAGTATTTATGATCTTTGAGGTCCAGTCCCAATGTCAGGAGTGGGGAGAGATCGAAGACCCTCACTGCCTCACCTAGAAGTACGTTTCTTTGTAGGATTGGGGGATTGTCAAATGATGGCAAATGTATACCGATGTTTTGTACTTGTTATACTTGTTATCATATCTCGTCTTCACATGTCTTCACTGGACATTGCCAACAGGTTCTTTAGACTTCACATCCACCAAGTGCACAACACATGCCATCGGCCATCAGGTGGTGATTCATCCCCACATCCTAACTCTGATCCTGGTTGCTTCTCCATTCACCAAGATTCAGAGATACACGTTTGTAGTTGATTGTTTGGAGAAGATTCATGCCAATGGTGTAGTTACACAATGTTACAGAGTTCTTGGTGTCATGGTCAATAATTACCGGTTAGCCCAGCCGCGCCTGTTCCCAGGGTAGATGGGACACCTGCCGAGCTGCGGACTGTGTCGAATGTGCCATGCTGATTCAAGATCGAAAAAATATAGCATAGATTAGCATAGCATAGATACAAGTCGATCCATTCTCTCTTTTTTCCTGGATATATTTTCGACTAAACGATTGGAAATCAGTAACCAAGCTGCAATTTTGGCGTTGATCAAGTGGGGCGACTAAGGTGGTTTTTGATGGTCAAGTTTTGATGCCTAGCTGCCTTAAATCGTTGTGTTTACCCAACACCATTTAACAGAAATGGCTGTGTTGAGGGATGGCAATTGCCATGCCTTTCTGGTTTTCTGATGAAACTTGGGGGATTTCCGCGGCCAGGTGAATTGTGAGGACTTCTACACAATTCAGTATATCATCCCGTTTTCAGGGATGGACAATTGTGGAGAGTGATGGCAAAGTCCCGAAACAAACAAAGCTTTCGAAAAGATATGCCCAAGTTTTATGGTCTGCTGGCAGCATTGCTTTGCTGCCATATGACAAGCCATCCTTTCCGCTTGTTTTGGAGACAGCAATCAAGCACAATTATATACCCTAAATACGCAGCCTCAATACATCAAAATAAACATCATTTGACCAGGCGATTCTGAAAAATTCAAACATCAAACAGTTTCATACCATTGGGTCCCAAAATGATAAATTCAAACTCTTCAGCATTGTTCAGCAAGGTTTCCATTTTTTTCCAGCTTGAGGCCTTTCCATGTTACAACAGCGGTGCTGTTTCCGGACCTACAAGGTGTGGCGGCGATGGTGAACGCGAACCTTGGTCGACTCGTCATGAGTCGTCCAACAAAACAGCACCTTTTGGGTACGTTTACCAATCTCGAACTTCCAAAAAGCAATGTGTTCACAGATTTTAAAAAACAAAGAATAGAAGGACCCTGTTCGACTGTTTGGAAAGTGGGAAACGCATTTAAAACAGAAACGGTATGGACCGCTGTTCGATTAAACAAACAAAACGATAATTTCTGCACTCGGAAATGGCTGGTCATTGCTGAGTGTCTGAAAGTACCTTTTCATTTCTTGTGCGTTCTTTTGGGAGAGTTGTCAGCGGTTTCAATTTTCAGAGATCACCCTCCACCGAGTGCAAACATCCATAGTAAACAACTGAAGTCACCAGTCACTCGCAAATCACATGTGAGGACGGCGATGGTGTGGATATCCAAGTGCTGGCCAATGGTTATATTCAAAGAGTTGCCAGAGTTGACTCAAACATCTGACAGCAACTGCGGACTATACACCATTCTGCTTGGGTTTGTCCCTTCATGTTTGGTGCTTTCCCCATTCCTTGCCACCGCCCAAACAGCTGCTGGCACGTTGAGGACTCACCAGGGAAGCAGTGCCTAAGACCTGGGAGGATAAGCTGAGCTGGTTCAACATTGGATTCCCTTACAGTTGATGGGGACAAGCCTTCTATGTAGATATGTATGTATATGAATTTATATATTATTTATTTCATATATATGCTATTATTATTTTTTATCTATATGTATTAATGTTATCAATGTTTTTTATTTTATATGTATTTGCATGTTATTGATTTGTATTGAAATGTATTTATATGTTTTTCACTTTTATTTAAATTTATTTATATACTATTATTTGTTTTTATCTACATGTATTAATGTTATCAATGTTTTTATTTTATATGTATGTATATACTGTTAATGTCTATTTATATGTATTGATATGCTATCAACTTTTATTTAAATGCATTTATGTTTATTTATATGTATCTAAATGTCATTAATATTAATTTATGTATGTATATGTGATTAATTTTATCTATATGTATCTAAATACTTTTAATGTTTTTGTTTTTTTTTTAATATGTATTAATGTTATGCATTCTTATTTATATGTATTTAAATACTATGTATTAATGTTATTTATTTTTATATGTATTTAGAAACTAATATTTATATTTTCAAAAATTAATGTTATGCATTTCAATTTATTTGTATTTATATACTATTAACCTTTATTTATATGTATTAATGTTATTAATTTTTATTTATATGTAATTAAATACTATTAATCTTCATTTATATGTATTAATATTATTTATTTTTATTTATATGTATTTATATACTAATATAAGTATATATATATTTTTTTAATGTTATGCATTTTTATTCAGATGTATTTATATACTATTAATCTCTATTTATATGTATTAATGTTATTAATTAATTGTCATTTGTATGTAACTATATGTATTTGTTCATGTTTTTTCATTTATCCCTCTATATATATATATTTATATGCACGTATTTAAATGCACATATACATATATGTGTATATGTATATATGTATATGATTATATGTGTTTATATGCCTTTATAATAGGTATTTAGGTGTATACATACTTACGTACGTACGTACGTACATTTAATACATACATACATGCATGCATGCATGCATGCATACATACCTACCATTGCATTTTATTGCATTACATTACATTACACTACATCACATCTCATCACATTACCTTGCATACATATGTCTACATATATTCTATACATCGTACTAGCACCTGTTCCTCAACAAAGTCTTACCTCCTTTGGTTTAGGTAAATGCCGCCCCTTTGAAAAAAATCGAAAGGGCCCCCCATTGGGAGGAGTGATTTTGGCTATTTACAGTTTGCAGCATGTTGCGAGAGAAAAAAAAACATAAAACTTGCGTTTTAGAGCAAACAATAGTATGTTTGCTCTAAAACGCAAGTAATACATGTCACTGCTGTCATAATTCCACTTCTAGAGACTTCGTGACAGAATTCAACCATTCATATCCATTCTGTGAGGTTTGCAAAGAACTACAGGCAAGCACTTGCATTTACATATAGAAAAAAAATCATATATTATATATATATATATTCTATAATATCATTTAATATAAGTAAATAATTATATAATATACACGCCACCAGAATCGGTGAATTTGGATCAGATGTCGTGTAAAGTATCGATGGCTACTGAGGTGATGGTGAACATTTGCTACTGCATTGGTTTCTTCGCGAACTTGCTGAACAGGTATATCCTATTAACATTGCAGAGTCATTTGCATGTGCGGAATCTTATGGTCAAACAAACACATCTCGTAGCATTGCATGAAACATGCCTCTATGTATGCCTAAACGGTTTAAACGGTAATCCCAGAACCAACCACTTTGTACCTAGCATTTATTGGTGATATCACCGTGTATTATAACAAAGGAGGTTTTGACTCCTTTGTCTACTGAATGTGTCTACTGAATGTAACCCATCCAACCCGAATGAGCCGTTGAGCCTCCATGATTCCAATGATGATCCCCATGGATTAGCTGAGTTCCCCAGCCGTTCCGGAAGGCGGTACCACACAGCTTTGAGGCCAGAACTCGCGGTTCCCAGCGAGGCAAGACGGTAAGACCCAGGAAATCACGGAAGGGAAGATCCGTTTTTTGCAGTAAATGCCAGGAAACCATCACATTCTTAGGTACCTAATCTTGACAGAAACCCATATTTTAGGAGTGTCTGAGAAGTTGTCAACAGCTATATGTATCCAATAGTCACCGAGTGGCTACAACTAGTTGTTCTTTTGCGTCACAGAACGCCGTTGCTGTACATGGCACTGAACATATCAAACGGATGCTGAAGAGAACATCGACCACATCTCCCCATTGATCAGAAGCGCGCCCCCGGGAAACACCATCAGAAAACTTGAAGAGGGTCAAACCAGCCACTTGTAAACCCTGGCGGGTGAAGCAGCCACCCATCCAAAAACAAGGTTCATCCCAGGTAAGACTAAAGCTGGTGACTGCAACATCAGCAAAAGTAGCCCAGTTTCACTCGCATGGAAAAACACAGAGTTTTACCCCAACATGACCAGGGTAATCTGGGGTCCCATGCATCCCCATTTTGGACAAACCCATGTGAAATTATATATATATATGTATATACGTAGTCGTACACAGTAATTAATTATATGTAACTATGTGCAAGTATATGTAACTATATATAATATAAGACATAAATATATATATACACATACACACATAGCAACAATATAATCAGTCTATGTATATATATATATATCAACACATTCCTTGAGATGAACGTCACATGCTCAGAAAGTCACCAAGACAGCGCCTGTGAAGTCACCAACTGAGATGGCACAGGAGAAGGGACTGGAGATGATCGTGCGCCTCAGCTAGGAATGGAAAGATCTGGATGTTTAATGGAACATAGTCATCAAACATGGCTAGCTGGGAACCCCCCGAAATTCCCCGAACTAAACGGAGGTTGCCCGGAAAATCATCGAACTAAATGGTGGGCCAGCAAGCCATGTTTGAGGGTAAACAATTCGGAAACAAAGCGCTTTTGGAGTGGTTCCTCTAATCCTTACCAAACAAAAACATATGAAGGTCTTAGTCGCGTAAACCGACCAAATCTAGGTCTACTCAAACCAAACTGACATGAATTCTGACTGAGTGCAGTCACTTGAGATATTTGGTATGTTCCCATGGTTGCTGTACTTGTAGCCCCTTGCAACCCATGTATATCCATGGTCGGCAAATGAGTTATGCTCTCTGCACATGCAAATTTCCCATTCCAAGCTAAACCCACCAACCCATGTGTATATATATAATGGACATTGCATATATCATGCATGCATATAATAAACGCACATACACATCATATGATCGTTTACACTGCCACGTATTTGTAGCCGTTTTGGAATATTAGCGCCTCTAGTGACGTTGGCCAGTGACCCCTGCCTGAGAAAGCCATCGAACTGGGCCTTGGTAAGAAAAGGACTCGGGGAAGCTAACCTGAGTTTATGAGCCAAATAATTAGGGAATTCAAAAGCCGGATTTAAGCACACAAACGGCAACTTCACCACGACAGATAGGGATTGAAGCATGAAAATTAGGTAAGCAGAATAAAGTAGGGATTTGTGATGATATTGCAAACCGCGATCAACCATGAACATTGGGGACCTAACAACGAAATATGGAGTTAAGCACCCAAACGATGAGATTATCGACTCTGGGTTGGTTGGACCATTGGCGATGGAAAACCATGATCTGTTTGCCAAAGGATGCCCATGACTCATTGGCTTCAAGACCGCATTGAATTGAATTTGTGCACTTTGAAACCACTCCCCACTACAACTAATAACTAATTACTAAAAATAAAGCCTCCGAAATATGGGCATTGCAAGTGAATTCGAAAAACAAAAACAGTTATAAACATTCATAAACATTTCATAAACCATACCTGATCTTGCCCATGAGCTTGACATGACAAGCTCTTGAGACTTCCGAACAAAAAACATTACGGCCCACCATCTCTCTCAGTCCCCAAACTCTTGGGCATATCTGGAAGCCGGTGGAAGAACCTGCACCGGGACAACAGCGATTTTCTTATGACGGCATGACAAAGATATTGAACAATATATTTGGTGGTTTCCTAAAATGGGGGTACCCCCAAATCATCCATTTTAACATGATTTTCCATTAGAAACCCCACATTTTAAAAAATTGGGGATCGCCCATTTATGGAAACCTCCATTTAGAAATGATTGGGATCTCAGATTTCTACAAGCCAGGACTTGTCAGACTTCTCCAATCCATCCCTTGGTGCCCAGGATCTTCCACATGACTTGTAGGTTCCAGCTGGAGCAATGGAGCAATGGAGCAACCCTCAAGCTCCCACCAGTCGTCAAACCAGACTATCTGCACAATCTAGATATAACCGGACCCATGCTATGTCAGTACATAACTGTTGTTTTTTGATGCAAAAAAATGCATCCTTAGTATTCCCGGGGGTCCAGACCTCCATCCTTTAAATCCTTCTGGATGTCATGGATCCATTGAACCCCAACTTGTTCAACAAACCCCAACCCCACAAGACACCACAAAACCATACAAAACCACGAAACATGGTAGTAAAAGACTCCATCAGATCCTGAAATCTGTTGATACCATTCTTATAACATCTAATAACATCTTATAACTAATATGAAATGCCCAGCGTTTGGTAACGTCGCGGTTCCCATTTTTCGCCTGACTGTGCGCGGGAGAGGTTTCATTCACCGCAGCAGTCTCCACCTTCCGAATCAACCGAATGAGAGGTGACCATAGGCCATACTGCTGTGTATCCTGCTACGTATATGTGTAAACAATACACAGCAGCAGGATACTGTAGGATATTCCTCCATTCATGGCAAGGGAGAAATCCCATGCTCTCCAAACTGAATTACTGTAGTCACGCAACTCTTCCAACCACGATCAGGGATCGCTTACATTGGGTATATCAATCGCCATTGATGGAACATATTGGATCAGCGTGGACATGTTACGATTTCCTAAATGACGGACATATCAAATGCAAGTTCAGACACAAAATCGCACACATGATTCTAGATTGGCCCGATTACTACTTAGGCTCTGCTCGAGAGCGGCTTTGGCTTGGCAAAACCCAACTTCTCCCATCGAAAATGACATGTTCACCAGCCACCACTGAGAACGGCGAAGGACCGACAGGCCAGCCTATGATGATGCATTACCATGATCACCATCAGCAGGATAAGGGGGAAACGGAGGAAAACCAGGATTAGGTGGATGGTTGTTGCGATGGTGACGACGACCATTACCATCTGCGTTGCTTTTTCATAGTAGTGATCACTTATTCACGTGGGGTATCCAAAAATTGAGTGAAATAATTCACCTGGTTCACATCCATCATTGACACTTGATGGTGGCAGGCCGGTGAATTATGAAACAAACAAACAAACAAACGAGCAGTTCAACACTGGATACTGTGAGAACTGGCAATCCATTGGGATGATCTCTTTACATATCTTCAAATCCCAAGTTCAGGTTCCGAAAACATAAAAATGGAAATGCATCACCCTGTTCCACTACCCGTTTCTTGTTTAATATACCACTAGATAATCTTAGATATTTGGGTATGTTTCAAAGTCAGCAACCGACTATACCAAGGAAATTCTTCAATGTTGTAGTAGTTATACCAGCCATACAACTGGGTCTATCCCATTTAGGTCTGTTAACCAACCAACCAACCAACCAACCAACCAACCAACCAACCAACCAACCAACCAACCAACCAACCAACCAACCAACCAACCAACCAAACAACATCAAGCAACATTGGGAGGTCAACCGCCTCTACCACCCGCTCGATGTAGTCCAAGTGAACTTTAGGAACTTGCTTCACCACCTGCACCAGGTGTTTCAATATGACACTATGGGATAAACATGCATGGGTAAACAAGCATAATGTTGGGAATTCTAGCCCAGCTTATGGATGTTATTTCACCATCATAATGCTCATCAGTATTCCGAACTACAGGAAAATGATGAAAACAGGATTCTTCGGGAGGCACGGGGTTGCTTTGATGTTGCTTTGTCTTGCTTGGAAATCAACGGAAGTCGCCATGGTTCCAATGGTTCTCCCCATGAGGATTCAGAGGTTCCCTTAAACCAATTCTGGGAGATGGCTGGACCGGGTTGTTCGTCACTCTTATTTCAATGTTGGAAAAGGTATATCCTAAAACTGCAAGCGTGGCGTGTATTTTAGACCCACTCATCCCTGGCCATGTTTTAGCTTGGAGCTAGCATTTTGCGCGTTTTTCCTGATCTGCAAGCTTCCCGAGTCCCCGCACAAAAAAGGATACACTACTATACTGAGCTTCACTTGGAGCTGCAAACACACACTTCATGCTACGCCGCGGGTGAAGTGGGGGCGGGGGCGGGTGGGGTAGGGCGGGGTGGGTTGGGTCATCAGTGCGCACGTGAAGTTGTACACACACACAATGATGTTACAAGTACTTGTGGTACAGAAACTTGCACTTTCAGTTGCACATCCGCTTGATGCAACACTGAAAGGTCTTGCATGAGCACTTGCACAAAAACTTGATACCTGCCTTGAGGATGTTCATTTGCCGGCGGAAGCAGAATTTTTTGCCAAGCAAGAGTTGCCACTATGGCACAAAGGGTTGCCATTGATTATTCGGTGCCAGCTGGGAGTCCCCACCGGTTTTCTCATAGAGAATAGAGTACCCCAAAATCCCATCGTTGATCATCATGTTCCCTACAAAAACTGCCATTTGTATTGATTTGCGGGTATCCCACATTTTCAGACAAACCCATATCCGATAGTATTATTCATATTTTTCCGATCATTATACTGGCTACTTTTCCTGCATATATCCCAAGTTATATCCCATATATAGATATATCTAAAGATATATCTATAGATATATTTATTTCTGGGTAAATGATAATGTTTCACTAACCTGAATCTTGCGACCATTTGAGGATGATTTCCCTTACAAACCATTATTCCCAGTGAGGTCGCAGTGAGCTCGTTATAATTTACCCAATGCCTCCTGATAGACCGGCGCGAGATCTTCACGGATCACCTCTACAATGTTGGCCTGCCGTGACAGACATCAAACAGATAAATAGGACATGATCATATATTGACAATGATGAATATGTATATATATATATGTACAATATAATAATATATCCAAATATATTATATATATACTATACATATGCGCAGGTATAGTAGTATCATCATATCTCATCAATTTGTTTTTTGTTTAAATAACTACACACATGCAGTATATATATATATATTTAGATCAGTACAGTATACTTACCTGGGAGTGTGTAGAACTGGCCACTCTTGAGGTGACCCTGATTATGCGCGCAAAAAATCATGTGTTTTGTGTTGGGGTCTGTGTACAGTATCAGTAATTTCATGGTCAGTATATTCAGGAGTTTCCTTAACTTAATAATCCTGAATGCACCATGACTTCCACTGTACAATAGATCTGCCGGAATCTTCAGGCAGCCTCTTGAAACATCGAACAAGTTGTCAAATCGTCTCACAAGAGCATCGCATACCTTATCAGCTAACGTAAAACATCATGTTTTGACGTCCTTACACGACTACAGCACAAATGAACCTAACGCTAATCTTTCAGTGGATTGCGGTGGCAGTGCCAAAGTCTTATCAGAAAAACACACGCATTCCTTGCCTCCCAGAAGTTTCCAAATTCGAGTTCATTCTGGTGCAGTAAACTATATATAAACATACCAGAACAATCCAGAACATACCATTTGGTTTTGAATCAAATACTGTTGTTTTTGGATGTTTTTGGTTTATCACAAAAACATGAACTGCAATAGTTGAGGCTACAGTTCAATACCACAAAATGGTATCACGGCTTAGCACATAACGGAAACTTGTTTTTCATAGACTCCGATGCCTTTTGGCAACACTACAGGGGCCGGATTGAGAGACAATTCATTGTCATTGGCCTCGAATGCTTTGACAAAATGGTGGATAACCCTCTATCTATTCAATTAGGACAGTTGACACATCTTTTGTGACGCATACATGGGGGTATGGGCCCGCTTACCAAGCATCAATCCTCTTACCCCAACAAGTCATATGATTGGAAAGGAACGGTCCAAATTGAATTGACACAGGGCTTATTAAGCAGACATCATTCCCCCAACCAAACGTAAACCCGGCTGTTGCTTTGTACCCCCTGCACCATATGAGCCATTTTGGATAAACCTAAATGAAAGAGAAACTATGAGAAACGATCCTTTCCCACCCATTCTGCCCCAACCTTTGTCTACAGCCCAATCTTGTGATTATGTTGATCAGCAAATTTTCCACCGAGAGAAAACAGGGCCACAACTTAGGGGTATGGCCCCATCGTTCTCAGATACACCCATATACATTATCATACTTGTTTTTTTTTAAATCCCATTATTCCTATTATTGCTGGCATGATATTGCCATATTCCCAGAGACGCTATATATATATATTTATTTAATTAATTCCATGCCCAACATATTAAATAGCTCCATTCCATGGCCCTAAATGTGTAATTCCCCTACATCCACCATTGTTTCTAGGGGGTGATGGGATCTTCATGGATTTTCCGTAGAAATTTGGTACATCCGCATCTCGTGGCCTGTGGAAGTTCGATCGCCTGTTCTTCCACCAGGACCTATCAGGAGAATGTATTGACCCCACTGGGAGTTTCACCCCACAAATTTGTGTGTCATTGGAATAACCCAAGCCACCCAGTTTTGGAAGTTCACCGGGCGCGGAAATTGCTGAGCGAACAAAAATGATCTGCAAAAGCTTGGTTGGGAGAAAAGGTGTCCAACATTTTCCAACCGTTGTGGTTGAAACCGATACTGGAAAGATCGAGGATGATCCGTTGAGAACTAGGATGGAACTCAGATTCAAACAGTTATTCCCACTCTCTCTCTCTATGTGTGTATATATATGTATTGGGTTGTATCACAATTTGGGTTGTATCACAATTTCTTCGGACTGATCTGCAATTCTTGTGAACCAGAACCACTAGTTGTTGGGCGAATATCGCAAACATATGTATATATATATAGGGCAAGTCTTTTTTTTGACCTTGGATCACTTTTTTTTAAACCTTACCTCTTTTTTTCGACCTTGGATCACTTTTTTTTGACCTTGGATCACTTTTTTTGGACCTTGACCTACTCCTTCTTAACCTTGGCATGTTCCTTTTTAACCTTGGCCTACTTTCCCATACTTGTTTGGAACCTTGCGCCATCTTGCACTTTTTCTCTGTGTGTGTGATTCTGGAGCGTGTAGAGTGCGGATGTAGGCATATGGAATGTCGAGTTTGCATCTGGAGTGCGGAGTGTGGCGACTGGTGGGTGGAGTGGACGGGATAGATAGGATAGAAAGGAAAGATAGGATAGAAAGGATCAGCAGATAGATAGATAGATAGATGGATGGATGGATGGATGGATAGATAGATAGATAGATAGATCGACAGATAGATAAATAGATAGATAGATAGATAGATAGGAAGATAGATAGATAGATAGATAGGTAGATAGCTAGATAGATAGATAGAAAAATAGATAGATATGGTGAAATAGATAGTCAAGATAGGATACATCGGATAGAAAGGATAGATAGATAGGAAAGATCGATAGCAAAGAAAGCTAGGCGAGTTAGATAGGAAAGATAGGATAGATAGGGTAGAAAGGATAGATAGGATAGATAGGATAGATAGGATAAATAGGAGAGATAGAAAAGATAAGATAGATAGGGTAGATAGGACAGATAGGATAGATAGATGGATAGACAGATGGATAGGTAGATAGATAGAGAGAGAGAGAGATAGATAGATCGATAGATAGATAGATAGATACATAGATAGATAGATAGATAGATAGATAGATAGGTAGATAGATAGATAGATAGATAGGTAGATAGATAGATAGATAAAAAGATAGGTGGATAGATAGATAGATAGATAGATAGATAGATAGACAGACAGACAGATAGATAGATAGACAGACAGATAGACAGATAGATAGATCGGTAGATAGATAAATAGATAGATAGATAGATAGATACATAGATAGATAGATAGATAGACAGATAGATAGATAGATAGATGGATACATAGGTATGTAGATAGGTAGATAGGTAGATAGGTAGATAGGTTAGGTAGATAGGTAGATAGGTATCCGGGATGGGATGCGATAGGACAGAATGGGACAGGACTGAATAGGATGGACAGGATAGAATTGCATTGGAAAGGATGTGATAAGATAGGATAGGCTAGGATAGGAAAGGTCGAGGAAATGGTCTCGGACGTTGCATGTAAACATTGGATAGATATAGGTCAGGGTTGGATAGGTGAGGATAGATTGGACAGATAAGACAAACACGACAGATCGGACAAACAGGAAAACTAGGATAGATAGAGCAGATATGACAAATAGGCACAGAATCTCGCAAATCTCCCGGAACCGTCTTAGAACCTTCCAGAATCTCCAAGCCAGCCGCACTTTAACCTTGCTCTGGGCTCAATCCCTGGAGCTGGGACTGCTGGGCAAAAATTGCAAACTAGGTTTGAAAAAAGAGGTGCAAGGCCAGAAAAAAGAGGTCAGCAAGGCTAGAAAAAAGAGGTGCAAGGTTAGGAAAAAGAGGCTCAAGGTTTGAAAAAAGAGGTGCAAGGTTAGAAAAAAGAGGTGGCAAGGTCAGAAAAGAGAGGTAGCGAGGCAAGGTTAGAAAAAATAGCTTTTCAAGGTTAAAAAAAAGAGGTAAGGTTAAAAAAAAGAGACGCAAAGTTTAAAAAAAGAGGGGCCCTATATATAGAGATATAAATATATATACATAGAATATATACTGAAATGACGTGTGTATATGTTGTCTACAAGGTACTGTGATGATAAACGGATAAACCCCAATAACAACCCCCCCGAACGGGAGGGTGTATCTCACCCATTTATCTGGTACTGTCTGGTGGATGATTCTCCGACAGGTTTCGATTTCCACATGGATGAAACCATTTTGAGACTATTCCCTACTACCATCCTTTATGGTGAGGTTGTATTACCGTTGCTATGACGATGCTATGGCAATCTATAATTTGCCCACTGAAGTTCACTCTTGTTCGCCAGGCTGATGACATGATGGATGAAACCCAAAAAACATAACATAACTATGCTCATTGGGTATTGTAAACCCCAGATTGATATGCACCACTGGGCTGATCATTGGAAAGGTACCATTTTAGTCATGGCATCGGCGTTGATCATTTGGAGCCCTAGCATCTGGGAAGAAAACGGTGGAGATCAGCCAACTAACACTGTATAATGTGGGCTAAATGGGCTATATGCTCATTTGCTGCTGGATTTCATGGAGAGGGTGGACCCGTCAGTCTGGCTAACCACTATCGTAATACAAGGGCCGCAGCTTGACATTGAAAACCAGAACTTGTGCCAATAATAACCGTCTATGGCAACAAAAACCACGGTTGAATGGCTGAAGACCATTATTAAGTCCCATACCAGTAGTACCGCACAAGGCGGTGGCGGAAGTTTCAAGGATAGGACACTATAGGAGAGGTGAGTGGTTGTGATGCATGGATGGCAGAGCAAATCCACTGATGGACCGAAAGGTGGTTGGAGTTGTGCTTTCTGGAGTGGTTGCAATGGTTGCAGTGGTCACCTCACTCACAACTCCTGGATGTAGTGTGGCGTAGTGCGGTAGTTGTAGTTGTAGTCGTAGTTGTAGTGTAGTGTCGTGGTAATTGTTGTTATAGTTGTGTAGTTGAAGTTGCAGTTGAAGTGTCGTTGTAGTGTAGCTGAAGTTGTAGCTGTAGTTGTAGTTGCAGCTGCAGTTGCAGTTGGAGTTGTAGTGTAGGTGTAGTAGTTGTTGCAATTCTAGTTGTTGCAATTGTAGTTGTAGTGGCACTTGTAATTGTAGTTGTAGTAATTGTAGTTGAGGTTGTAGTTGAAGTAGTTGAAGTGTAGTTGAAGTTGTAGTTGTAGTTGTAGTGTGGTGTAGTGCAGTTGCAGTTGTCTATCTATCTGTTTATCTTTTTGTCTTTCTGCTATCGAGCTATCTATCTATCTATCTGTCTGTCTGTCTGTCTGTCTGCAAGTTTGAAAACGAAGCTATTCTGAGAGACTTCCTGAATTTTTGAACTTGACAACATCAAAAACGCAGCAATTCTGCGAGACTTCCTCAAGTCTTGAACGCGGCAACGTCAAAAACGAAGGAATTCTGCGAGACTTTCTCAGTTTTCGAAGTTGACAACAGCAAAAACGAAGCAATTCTGCGAGACTTCCTTCAAAAATCGAAAGTTGAGTGCAGAGCTCACGGCCTCGCGCCAATGCGTTTTGCGATTTTTCCAGTCCATGTATCTAAAGTACTGCGCCTGCCACGTAAAAGTGATGCGAAGTAATAGGAAGTGCTGCACCTGTCACGCAAAATCATCTCAGCAAACTGCTCTAAAATGCAACCCCTCCCAGCAAATCAGCGCCCTGACCTCCGAACAGCTCTGATGAACATGTCTCTTGTACTGCGCCTGCCACGCGAAAGACATCTTGCCACATCCTCTGCAAATGTCCCACGCCTGCCATCGTTTGAGAATGCCACGAAACCCTCATGTTTTGCTCACTTTTGACAACGTGCATAATCCCTTGCGCCTGCCACGCAAAACGACATCTGAACCTCCAAAAGTGCTCCGAACTCATCAGTTTTTTTACACTTTTGACTTCAAAATGTGCTTCGCGCCACAACGGCGTGCACTTTTTCGACATCGCAACTTCCAAAAGTGGTCCGACGGTGGTGTGCTTTGTACATTTTGACTTGGAAATGTGCTTCGCGCCACAACGGCGTGCACTTTTTCGACATCGCAACTTCCAAAAGTGGTCCGACGGTGGTGTGCTTTGTACATTTTGACTTGGAAATGTGCTTCGCGCCACAACGGCGTGCAACTTTTCATCTCTCATCTGACCACATGGCTCCGCACCCTCCGCTTTAGCGAGCCTACTTTTCGACCCTCCGGAGCCATAAATCCTTGGAAAAACACCGTTTCGCGACTTTCTTACCTTTTCGCGCATCTGCATCTTCTTTCTTCTGAGACTTTCTCTTTTTTGATCTTCTTTCTTCTTCTCTCCTCTTCTCTGACTCTTCCCATCTCTGCTTTTCATCTGTCCATATTGTCGGAAGTTTGACTTCTAAACTTCCTTCGAAAATCACCATAAATCTCATTTCAGGTCATAAATACCACCGGATTTCATGTCCTCAAACCCTTGGAAGAAATCCTGCACCATAAATTATCGGATCCAACGCCTGGGGCACATGCACTACGCGCTCCTGGACCTGCACTACGCGGTCATGAAATCTTTGGTGCACGTGGATTCCCAGCTGTATATCTATATCTGTATACATAGATAGATATATATATATATATATATAACAATAATATGCCATTATACATACCAGGTATGAAGGCAAAGGGTGGCAAACAAAAATGGTAATGAAAGGGTAAACCTCGAGGTTCACTGGGAGAGCTTCTTTTTAACCCCAAGGTGGCTCAAAAACTTGGCGCCAAAGACCCACACATGGCTTCTGCAGTTTTGGCGATTAATGTTTAAACATGCATATTCTGGGATGCTGGGCTTATTTAAAAAGTGAGATCACAGCAATCCAAGTATCCTCAACCCATCATCCATTACAATCATTAACAACTATGGTCCACACTTCTAACCATCCATGTCTAACATTTACAAACTCTCCAGGAATCCATGTTTCGAATCATCCGATCAACCCTTCAGCCTGTGTGGAGATCTTTGGGACCACGCGGTCTCGTGGCATGAACTGAGGCTTTAACACCTGGCATCTCCCGTGAATTCTCCCTGGCAAGCCTGGTTTAATATTCGGTGGGATCAATGGAATATAAAAACTTATAAGAAACAGACTTCGTTGGGAGATAGATGTCTTATAATGGATGGTAAATAGAATTGATCTTGTTGGGATCTTCCAATATCCTTCCAGATGATTTCAATGATCGGAAGCATTGCTGGAAAATGATGACCAGGATGGGGTAGGCAACCCCCACAACATCCCGTCGGGATGGCACTGTAGCTCTTTGGCGGATTCAGCATGATTCACAGCTATGTAACCGCCCGAAAAAGTGATGTTTGAAAACCGCAAAGAATCGGAGATGATGTATTGCGGCATATGCATTTTTTCCCCACCTGCCAGGTGAGGGTTGTTAGATTTTATCTAAGTTGCCTGGTCCTCCTCCTCCTCCTCCTGCCGCCTCCTCCTCCTCTCCTCCTCCTCTCGTTGTCCTCCTCCTCTCGTTGTCCTCCTCGTCCTCCTGCTCAACTGCGACTCGCGATCCACAGTGTTCGCTGTCGGACCTCAACCACGACCATCCACGCCCAGTGTTCCCTGCCGGACCTCAACCACGACCATCCACGCCCAGTGTTCCCTGCCGGACCTCAACCACAACCATCCACGCCCCCCTGCCGGACCTCAACCGCGACCATCCGCGCCCAGTGTTCCCTGCCGGACCTCAACCGCCAGTATCCACGCCAAGTGTTCCCTGCCGGACATCATGTAGGAAGATATGGGACAAAGAATGTGCAGAGAAAGTTGAAGAATGTCAGAAGAATTTCGAAGTATCCAGAGATATGCCAGACTCCGAATGCCATATACTGCCATATAGAAGGCCAAGAATGCCAGACGTAGGTCAGAAGTAGGCAAAAAGAGGCCAAGAATGCAGATAATATGGCAGAAGATAGGCCAGATAGAATGCCAGATAGAATGCCAGAAGATTTGCCAATAAGAATGCCAGAAAATAACACACCAAATGCCAGACGATATGCCAGATAGATATGCCAGAATATATTTCCCTAAGATATTCCATAAGATATGCCAAGAGATTCAATATATGCAAGAAGAGAAGGGAAAAGATGCCAGAAAGAATGTCAGAATAGATGCCAGATAGAATGGCAGATAGAATGCCAGAATAGAATGCCAGATAGAGTGCCAGAATAGAATGCCAGATGGAATGCCAGAAAAGATGCCAGAAAGAATGTCAGAATAGATGCCAGATAGAATGGCAGATAGAATGCCAGAATAGAATGCCAGATAGAATGCCAGAATAGAATGCCAGAAGATTTGCCAGTAAGAAAATGTATAAATGTCATGGTGGGGATCACACGAAGTAAAGTAATTTTCGAGACACTTGTTCCCAACTGATCTCTGGCCAAAGGTGTTTTTTCCGACGGCTGATGCTACGTTGGACAATGGTGCAAGCTACCCAAGATGGGATGGTTGCTGATCATGACGCCGCTGGATATTCATTAAATCCCATTAGCCCATGGCAAACCACGAAAAATAGAACCAGTGACAACCCATGAACAGATTTCCTGCCTTTCACCTGGGTGTCTTCAAAGGGACTTGATTTGAAGAGATTGCTTACCCTGAAGTCAATGAGTCCTAACAAAGCTGCCCAAGAAGTCATCGCACCATTGCATGCCGCTCCTTTTTGGTCACAGGCCTGTGAGGCTGGAAGCAACCTGGTAGCAGGAACAGGGAACAAATGCCCATCTGCATGTTGCCTGGCAAAAATCACAAACACATATTTTGTTGCCTGTGATGGTGATCCTACAATGAGTAGGGTAGCACCATGACTTGAAACTTCGCCAGGTATGCCATGCCAACGCTGGGCCGCATTAACATTGCTGGACTGAAGGGAACTCAAAGGTGAACAGACTAATGCCGTTGCACTTGGCAAACAGCATTACAGCACACGGGGCTGATGCTCCATGTCCCAACGAACATCCCAGAAAACTGCAATCATGAAAAACAGCCGAAAACAACTGTTAAAACTGTTAAAACAACTAGTAAACTTGTTAAAACAACAGTTTCACGGTAAAAACAACAGATGTCTCACCAGTGATGTTTTTCAAGTCCGCATTTGGGACATGAATCCACCATCCGTGATGCATGCCACGTCGACTCATGCCATGTCTGAGGGAATGGAAAGCAAATAGTATTGATGTTTGTCTTAGTCCAAGGAGTCCAAGGGACATCCCATCAACCCATGAGTACCCACTACTCACCCCTTTTTTCTTGTTCATCACAAGTTGGGGGGGCGCTAGAAACAAATGACGCCTGAAATCTATGCTGTTGGTGGTTTCAACCCGTCTGAAAAAATATTTGTCAGTTGGGATGATTGTTCCCAATATATGGAAAAATAAAAAATGTTCCAAGCCACGAACCAGTATGGATATATAATGATATATATATATATACACAATACATAGACATCATGATTCTACACTGATATCTCACAACAAAACACACATGGATCGACTCAAATCTCAAGTCTCAGCAGTCACTGCAGGATTTTGCACCCAATTCGCATCCTTCAAGCCATTGAGTGATCCTCTGGCTGAAATCCAGGTACGGTGGTGAACCAGCTCGAATTTTCATCCATTCTTAAGTCTTCGGGTATGGTCGTCAAGGCCATTCCCTTTCTGATGAAGTAGTGTCGACAGGAATCAACATGGTAACATCTATTATGGATGTGTATGGTCTGGGGTTCACCACAATTGATTATACTTGCCGCGTCTCGCAGCTATGCCATGCCAAATTTTCTTAAAGCAGCGGAAGTCTTGGCCAGTGTGGAAGATGAAAAGACAAAACCAACAAAGATGTCGGCCAAACCTTTATCTAATCCGAACAACATCATGAAAAGAAAAAACACCTGATGTAAAGCCATATTGTGATGATTTTCCGTACTAGCCATCACATGCTCCCCCGCGCTCCAATTCATTCGAGAACTGATGGGGTTCCCACATATTTCCCTCACAACTTATTATGTGACACAAATTACCAATTTCGAGTGCTTCCCAACCTCAGGAAAGCTTGACATATCTATGTATATATATATTATACAATTATCTGTAGATATATACACATATTGATACGTAAATTAAACTAGCACGATCTACATATATAATACATCATATATAAGCTCTCTCTATATATATATACATATACATACATGCATCATAATCATCCCGCCGGGTGCGGAATCGCACGTGTAGGCGCATCAACATGCTGAAAAACATGACAACCCTTTCAGTGTTTCGTGGCCTTCTGATCAGGAAAAAAATGTTCCCAAAAAAGGTCATTTTTCTTGGATTTTGCAACCCTTACAGCACAAATTTCGGACCTTTTTTGCCTTGCCACTTTCATTGATCATTGTGCATGTAGACCTCACTGACTAGTGATTTGATGAGTTATTATCCTCACGATATGAAAGATCGCTATCATACCAAGCATATCCAATAATGACCAACATATGAAATTAGAGGGTGATTTTTATCACCATTGGGATGAACTTTATCGTTACCGTGGTGAAAGACACTATCAACAGAAGTATGACAACCATTATAAATTATTATGATGCACTCCTCAAAACAGGTAACGAGAACACATGATATACGTTGACATCCCCACCCCACCCCACCCCATCCCCACCCCATGATCAGCGTAGCAGCAGTGGCGTGTTCAACTTCAACCGAACGTTCACATCTCCACCCCACCACATGCTCAGCGTAGCATGCGTGGCGGTTCAAATGCTAACGAACGCAGCGTGGCGTGTTCAACTTCAACCGAACGTTCACATCTCCACCCCACCACATGCTCAGCGTAGCATGCGTGGCGTGTTCAAATGCTAACGAACGTGAACATCCCCACCCCCCCCCACCCCATCCCCACCCCATGATCAGCGTAGCAGCAGTGGCGTGTTCAACTTCAACCGAACGTTCACATCTCCACCCCACCACATGCTCAGCGTAGCATGCGTGGCGTGTTCAAATGCTAACGAACGTGAACATCCCCACCCCACCCCATGATCAGCGTAGCAGCAGTGGCGTGTTCAACTTCAACCGAACGTTCACATCTCCACCCCACCACATGCTCAGCGTAGCATGCGTGGCGTGTTCAAATGCTAACGAACGTGAACATCCCCACCCCACCCCACCCCATCCCCACCCCATGATCAGCGTAGCAGCAGTGGCGTGTTCAACTTCAACCGAACGTTCACATCTCCACCCCACCACATGCTCAGCGTAGCATGCGTGGCGTGTTCAAATGCTAACGAACGTGAACATCCCCACCCCCACCCCATCCCCACCCCATGATCAGCGTAGCAGCAGTGGCGTGTTCAACTTCAACCGAACGTTCACATCTCCACCCCACCACATGCTCAGCGTAGCATGCGTGGCGTGTTCAAATGCTAACGAACGTGAACATCCCCACCCCACCCCACCCCATCCCCACCCCATGATCAGCGTAGCAGCAGTGGCGTGTTCAACTTCAACCGAACGTTCACATCTCCACCCCACCACATGCTCAGCGTAGCATGCGTGGCGTGTTCAAATGCTAACGAACGTTAACATCCCCACCCCACCCCACCCCACCCCATGATCAGCGTAGCAGCATGCTCAGCGTAGCATGGCGTGATGGCGTGAACTCCCCACCCCACCCCACCCCATCCCCACCCCATGATCAGCGTACAGCAGGGCGTGTTCAACTTCAACCGAACGTTCACATCTCCCCCCCCACCACATGCTCAGCGTACATGCGTGGCGTGTTACAAATGCTAACGAACGTGAACATCCCACCCCACCCCACCCCATCCCCACCCCATGATCAGCGTAGCAGCAGTGGCGTGTTCAACTTCAACGGAACGTTCACATCTCCACCCCACCACATGCTCAGCGTAGCATGCGTGGCGTGTTCAAATGCTAACGAACGTGAACATCCCCACCCCACCCCACCCCATCCCCACCCCATGATCAGCGTAGCAGCAGTGGCGTGTTCAACTTCAACCGAACGTACACATCTCCACCTCACCACATGCTCAGCGTAGCATGCGTGGCGTCTTCAACTGCTAACGAACGTTAACATCCCCACCCCACCCCACCCCATCCCCACCCCATGTTGAAAATGTGTGTAACTACACGTACGGTTTGGCACCCGTTAGCATAATCATGTATACATACATACATGTGTCATATGTATATATATATAGATACGTCTGATATATATATATATATGCATATATCTGAACGCGTGGGCAATGTGTTTCTGCGGAGGCCATACAGTACTTTGTGAATTACATTTGCCTCGAAAGCTGGTCGAATGGTTGGAGCACTCCAAAAATGCCAGTAGTATCTCAAAAATTACCCTAGCTGCAGGACCTTTATACATATATATATATGTATAATTATATGAATTTAAATACATACGTATATATATATATATATATATGTAATCATATGGAGATTTCGTTAAATGGTGGTACCCCAAAATGGATAGTTTTTAATGGAAAATTGAATGGATGATTGGGGGGTACCCCCATTTTAGGAAACGTCCGTATGTGTATATGTGATTATATTGTGTGATTGTAACAGAAAATGTTGAAAACTGACATTCATATACTGAAATGTTTATTAAATCGTATTGACAGAGATGCTGACAAATGTACTGACATCCAAATTGACATCACTGACATTTGCTCACCTGACAGGATCTGACAGGTGAGAAGAATGAGCATTGAACATCAAATGTAAGGCTTGTAAGGCTCACCCAAATGTTGGTCAACAATCCATGCAAACATATGGTATGGTTTTTGTCTGCTTGACATCTCAGTATCAACATACTTTAGGGGCGCGACCACAATTTCACAACAGCTTTTGATTGTGACCCCCAACACATGATGATCACCACATGGGGAAACATCGGGGACCCCCTGAGGTCAAGCTCTACAAATGTCTCATCCCAAACGGCGGCGCATCACTTCAATTTCTTCTTCGAGCAAGGGGCGAAAGCCATCTCTCGCCATGATCAAGCCGAGAAGTGCTGATAGGGGCATCCTGGGTACATGTTTACCCCGAAACTCCAAACATAGGATTGAAGCAATTCAAATCTGTACATATTATCACTCTGATATTTGATGTCAACTATTCACTAAATATCTAGTGCTTCCCAAATATGGATCGAGCGTCCGTCTCAGGGTCCGACGTAGCGCTCGGTCTAAACTGGGAGCTTTTGTTGGGCCGATTTCGTCCTCAAGCATGCCGATAATGTGAGTTGCTTGAATCTGAGAAGCTTCAACCAAACGACGAATATGCGGCAGGAGCACTGCCAAAAACTCACCTGTCTCCTCAGCACACTCAGTTCACACTTTAATGTGGCTGAATATACCATGTGGGGGTTTCCATAAATGTTTATAATTGCGATTCATGAAGCATTCCACCAGCTGCTGTGGATTTTAAAAACTTAGAAGTTGACATGTGGTGGCGTGCACCAACCATAGCATGGCCACTGCGCAAGGATGAAACATGACTGCCATTGCAAAATGGCTCAAGGGCGAGACGAAAAAGGTCTTGCCTAGCAGCTGCTGCTTCAGCTGTTGATCCACGGGTTATGAGCCCAAGGGATCTCAGCTGACATGGAGTTGTCCAGTCGTCGAGAGTCTTCCCTTCAGCGAAGAGCTGCTGCCGCTGTTAGCGCTGTGAAAGCTGCCGGCTGCGCAGACGACCTGATGGAGGAGATGTTGGAAGAAGCTGCTGGGTCCGGAACTGGTGGGTCTGTTGGAGCTCTAACTGGTGAACCTAATACCACTGAACCTGTGAATAGTGGGGGTATGTTAGATGCTTTGGGACCTGTAGGACCTCCGTTGTCTTTTTCCCCTGGTCAGCCACCCATGTTAGTTGAGAGAGCTAAGGGGATGCAAAACCTCGAGGTGAAACAAAACGTTGAAACCACACCTGGTGTCAAAAGGGTCGTTGTGACAGAGCAACAAACTCGGAACCCACCAAATGAGGGGACTGGAACTACCACCGCATCAGCGCAGGGGATTGTGAATGAACATAGTCCTAGAGATGGTGCTGGTAAGGGAAAGGGGTCTAGCTCTGAGTCTGGCAGAAGGGAACCCAGAAAAACTGTTGCCGCAGAAGCTCAACACTCAAAACAGGAAGTGTCACAGAGCTCACGTGTGAGGGGTTCTGGTGTTGAAAATGTGTCGCAGGACTCACGAATGAGGGGTTCTGTTTGTGAAAATGTGTCTCAGGGCTCACATGTGAGGGGTTCTGAGGGTTGTGAAATTGTGTCCCAAGACTCACGCATGAAGGGTTTTGGTTGTGAAAATGTGTCTCAGGGCTCACATGTGAGGGGTTCTGAGAGTTGTGAAAATGTGTCACCGGGTCCCACTGGAAAGGGTTCGGGTGTTGTGAGTGAAACCATGCCTCAGGGCTCCAATGTGAAGGGTTGAGGGGTTCAAAGGTTTTACATAGGTGATGGGCCTCAGGGCTCCGAAGCCGTTGTTGTGGCGCCTCAGGGCACCGAAAATGTTGTTGTGGTTCCAGACCAAATGGGGAGTGTTGTGAATCCCTTCTGGAGCGAAACTCAGCAGCGTGAAGCTGTTCGAGAAGCATTCGGGCCTGGGTACGATGTGATTGCCTTGGGTTTGCAGCCGGATTCAAATGCGTCGACACCCCAAAAAGTTCATGTGGGACAAAGGGAAAGTGTTGATGTTGAAATGGATCCAATTGAACTGTTCCGATTGCGTTGTTTGAGAGATGCTGAAGAAAAGTTTCGGCAGGGTTTGTTGAATATGGGGATGAGTGCTAAGGAGTCAAGGGTTGAAAAACATGAGAATGAAAAAGGGTCGCATGGTTCCCAAAGTTCATATGTTTCGGCAGTGGATTTCCAGGAACATGTTGCCCCCAAATCTCATGATGTGGTTGAATCCCAATTGGTTCATGATCCAAATGTGAGGGTTGTACCTGAAAAGGCTGTGACGTTCACGAGGGTTGCACCTGAAGTTGTTGTGCCAACTGTGTCAAATGTTGTTGAACCATTTGTGCCTAGGCCACCACCTGGACCTCCACCACCATCGCCGCCAAGAATGTTGAATAGTGTATGTGGGTTAGGGTCGGTAACACCTCAAATGCCACCTGCACTGCCGCCTTTTCCTGCGTCTGTGGCAGGAACCTTGCAAAACTCAGGTGGTGAAAATCCATCTGAAAATCTCAGGACGGTGGAGCTTCCGAAGTTGTCAATGGATGCCACTGCTCTGCAATTTGGTGATTGGCTCAGCATCATCGATTCTCTCATGGGTGACTTGTCTTACTCGTCGGGGGATTGGTGGACCATGGTCAGGGGAGCTGTTGATCAATGTTACAGGGATTGGTTGAATGTTGGACCAATTGAAAGGCTTAGGCTTCGTCCACAAGTGGATCCCAGGGTTCAATTGTGGCCTCGAACGGAAAGAAGGGCCTTAGCTATGCTTTTGGGAGCCATTACTGACCCCATCAAAGAAGAAGTGATTTCAGCTCGCAAACTGACCACTGACCAAGTGTTGTACAAGTTGTGCATCACCTTCCAACCGGGAGGTGCCACTGAACGCGCAAAGTTGTTGCAGAACATTACGGACTCCAAATGTGGTTCCAATGTTCATGAAGTTTTGGACTGGATTCGAACCTGGCGACGGTTTGTTCAAAGGGCCAGGGAACTCCATGTCACGTTGCCTGATGGTTTGGTTTTGTTAGGGGCTTTGAACAAATGTACTGATGTTTTGAGTGGAAAATCCCCACAAGTGGCATATCGTCTCAACATGATCCGCCAGCAGTTGAATGTGGATCAGTTGCCAACAGCAGAGACGATCTTGAGCTACTCCGAGCATCTGCAAGCTGAAGCTGAAGAGCTGACTTTGAGCACGCCTGCGAAGGCAACTTCGGCTGTGATGGCTGCTGCTTTGGGTGTGCCACCGCCTCCTGGGATCCCTCAAAATCCTCAAAGCTCCCAAAACCCCCAAAATGAATCGGATCAAAGGTTTCCGAACTCAAAAAGAAGGCCTTGTAGGTATTGGATGAGTGAAAAGGGGTGTCAAAGGGGTGATCGATGTTCTTTTGGTCATGTCAATTTGGATCCCCAAAGCAACAGATGTTTCAATTGTTCTGCTGTCGGTCATTCCAAACGTGATTGTCCTTTGAAAAATGCAGGGTCTGACTCAAAACCTGATCCCACCAAAAAGAGGGTTGCCAAAGTGTCAAAACCGAGTGGAAAAGGGAACCCCGAAAAGTATGGGAAGGGTATTGGGGAACATAGTAGCCCTGAAAAAACTACTGGGGATGTTGCTGCAGCAGAGAAGTCACTTGGATCTGAAACTGCGTACAGGACTGGGCCGGAAACTGGGGACGGGGGAGAAAATACTCCTGAAAGGGTCACTGGGCTGTTGAGTGAAGCCGCTACCCTCCTGAAAACCCTCAAACCGGTTGCCAAAGCTGTCAAAATCAAAAGGGTGAATGCTCCTGATGGACCCACAGGTCTTTTGGATGGTGGGGCAACAAACGCTTTGAGAAGAGGAACCCCTAAAGAACTGGCTGAAGCTGACCCTGTTGTTGTGGAGTTAGCACATGGGTCGGTTGAACTGAAACAACATGCTTTGACGGGGACCATTCTCACTGAACATGCGGTTGAACCCATTGTGCCATTAAGGGGATTAATCGACCTTGGTTTTGTCATCAAATGGAGTACCCATGGTTGTGAAATCAAACACCCCTCAAGAGGAACCATTCAATGTTGGTTGCGAAATGGGTGTCCTGTTGTGTCTGAAAAACATGCGTTAGGGTTGATTCATGACATTGAGTCTTTGGAGTTAGCCAAAAGAATCCCTTCTGAAAGTCCTGAAACCGTGTCTGAGACTGCACATGAATGGTGGTCACAAAGGTTTCCGAATGTTCCCAAAAGAATTTGGAGATACATGAAGGGTCAAGGGGTTGACACTCCAGGGGTTCACTTGCCTTGGAATCGTGCCCAAAGGCGTCGACATGCCCAAGCTAAGGCGATTGTCATCCACTTGTATGCCGGTGAAGCATCTAAGGATTGGAGTCTTGGTTGGCCTGCTGACGTTGAAATGATCACCTTGGACGTTCGAGATGGTCAGAATGTCCACGATGCTGCAACTTGGGCCTACCTTTGGCGACTTGCTGCATCTGGTCGTGTCGTAGCTGTGTTGGGGGGACCACCATGTCGTACTGTGAGCAGATTGTTGGAGAAAACACCAGGACCACCAAGGTTGCGTTCAAGAAATGGTCCTGAAAGGTTTGGGTTTGAACACCTCAATGAATCCCAACAACAAAAAACGGACAGTGACACTGCGCTGTACCTGAAACAGTTGGGGTTGTACATGCATGCTCACGAGTCATGGGATGGTTCAAGATGGCCCCACATGAAACATGTTGCGAATAGGGTTGGATTTATGTTGGAATCCCCTCAAGACCCCAAAACTTACCTCCAAAATGGTGAAGGGGATGAGTCTGCGAGTTTTTGGGCTTGGGATGAAACAAGGGATTTTCTAGAAGCTTTCCAACCAAATGGAATGGAGTTGATCAGTTTTGACCAGGGTGCGTTTGGGCATACTCGGAAAAAACCCACAACATGTATGACCAACCTCCCTGACATGAAAGAACTAGATGGCTGTCGCTCTGGTGAACGTGAGCGACACTTGGCGGTGAACTTGGATGAAAGGTTGAACCAAACTGCCTCTTGGTCACTTTGGGCACCAGGGTTGAGGGCTGCCATCAAAACGTCTCTGTTGGTTTTGGTTGAATGGTATGGGATCTCACCACCAAAATTGTCCAAAAGTTTGGGGTTGGATCAATGGAAACAACATATCAACCAAGGACATCAACCATACCGACGGGATTGTAGGACATGTATACTCAACATGGCTGGGTCAAAACCACACCGACGTAGGGAACATGCTGGGAGTTCTGCTTGGACCATGTCTGTTGATTTGGTGAACCTCCCCAAAGCACGTGACCTTGCTACCAAAAAAGTTGTGAGATATGGTTTGGTTGCCACAGCCCTTGTTCCTGTGTTTGACTCTCCTCCGGGGGACGAAACGTCAGCTGCCGAAAAGCCACTTGTTGCTGGCGATGTGTCTTCCGATGCTCCGCAACCAATGGAAACTGTGGATGCATGTTGGGGGGAGGGACTTGATGAAAAAGAATACTCCCTTCAGGGGGGCGAAAAGACAGAGGAAAACCCTGAAGGTGATGA